ACATGGATCAAAATTGCATTTATAGCCAATGTTAATGGAATCCAAAAATTACGATTATTTATTATTTGCCATGTCCACAAGTTCTATTGCTTTAATCATTGCACATGCCAAAAATTAGATTTTTATTATTGGTCCAAGAAGAAAGTGTGGATGATCAGGGTTTTTTTCTAGAAATGACTCAAAAATCTTAATAAAGAGATGAAGAAGGCACATCGACAGATCTTACTCTTTATGAATCACAAAATTGACTCATTTGTAAGTTTAAACAACAAAAATGTACTTATGTTCCTTAAAGTCATTAGTTTAGAAAATTGATATGAGAATTTTGAGATATATTGCAATTAATAGGATGTAGTAGCAAGAATAAGTCTTTTGCAAAATCTCCTTGAGAAAGAATTTCAAAATAAATAATCTTTCTTCCATTCAACTAATATAAATGATGTGAAAAGAGTGGTTTTTATTGTTATTAAAATATTTTAAATAGATTAAAAAGAGAGGTGGAACTCTTCATTCAAAACACCCAGCAAAAAAAATAGAAAAAAAAAAAAAAAAAAAAAAAAAAAAAAACACACACACACACACACACACATACACACAAAAATACAAAAAAAATACAAAAAAAATACAAAAAAGAAGAATAGGAAAGAATAAATAAATAAATAAAAACAAAAAAAAATAAACAAAAAAAAAAACAGAAAAGGAAGAAAAGAAGAAAGAGAAGGGGAGACAAAAAGAAAATGAAGGATGAAATAAACATAGGAGGAAGAGGCTGCCTCCAAATTTCGGCAGCCTTCCTATCAATAGGAGTTTGGATTGCTTCATATCCAATCTTCTTGTTTTTTTGTTCTAAGCTCAGTCCCGACTCTTAATACTATAGAGCCCAACTTTTGGTTTTTTGTGTATTGTGTTGTTGTTACTCAACTAATCGAGATATTTTTTTTTTCTTTTTACTCAATTTTTCTTGTATCGTCAACTAAGACTTTCAGCACTAGGTTCTTTTTTAAGTAGCAAGTCATTTTGGCTATAGTTAAGCAACATTTTGGTTTTTTTATACATGCTCAACGATTTTTGGTTGTTAACATACATGTGATAGCATTCTTTTGCTACTGCCTAGTTTCACTTCCTTGATTATCATTGTATATTTTTTATTAGCAAATCTCTTATAATTCATTGAGAATTATAGTCAAAATGTCAACATTGTCGTATTACGTGTTGTTTTGCTCAGGAATGCACCAGGCACTTAGCTATGGAAGGTGAGATTATGTTTCACAAGTAGTCAAGAAACCCTAATAGGTTTTATCCATGCAAGAAGAATATAATCTGAATTTCAATTCAAAAATACTTAAAACACTCTTCTTATTAGTCTTAACCATACATAAATCCCAATTACCTTGTTACTTTCATATTTAAGCAATTTAGATTTTTCTTATAAACCCCAATCCTAATCAGAGAGCTTTAACAAGCTCTAACATCCAATCCAACCTTCTACTTGATGTGGAATTTTTCATAAAATTGTCAATCCAAGTCTTCTAAATGCTCAAGAATTTTTAGTCCAATCCAACTTACAAATTGTGAGAAAACCTCCAAAAATTGCACCAATTTCACTCAACCACCAACTTGAAAAAAGAAGCAAAAATCCCAGCAATGATTTCTCCTCCCTTAACCGTTAACTTTGTTTCAAAATTGGTATGTAGCTTGATCTTTAAGTCATCCAACACCATGCCAATTTTCACCTTAATCCGATTGATGGATCTTCAAGTATCATAGAAACCCTACCCAACCTCAAACTGCCACCTTCTGAAATTCTCTTATGCTAAAAACTAGATATCTCTAAATCACGTTGTTAGACTGTCACAAAATTTTTCATACACTTAGCACACCTAGTAATCCAAATAATATCAAATTTTCAACTATAGATGTCATGCCAATTGCACAAATTAGCCAAAATTGCTAGCCTAATTATATTATATAAATCCAAATCACTGATACAAACCTTGACTTTGAACAACAATTGCTAAGTCTTCCAAAACCCTCTCAAAACAATTCTTATGTCTTTGGAATGAACTTTAAGCTAGCTCTCAGATCCTAACCTCCAATCTTCGAATGAAACCCTATTTTGCCCTAGGCCATCATTTTAGTTGCAAGAGGTCTGATTTTGACCCTGTCTCACAAACGGTCGACCCTCGGGTATCATTCTATCCTATCCTAAGGATTTTTTAGCCCAACCCTACTCTCAACTTAAACCTAGTACCAACTATGCTAATTATTTATCTCTTCTAACCTGATTTCATCAATTTATGGTCTTTCTAAGGTAATAGAAGAGTCTCTACATCTAGAAGGTAAAATTACTAACTAACCTTCAACCTACTAATTATTAAGATAAGAAAATAACCTAAGAGGCTTTTATAAAATCCATGTTTAGATACCTCAAATTATAATTAAACTAAGATAATTAGATATTAATTAGAAATTCAATTTTGATTATAATTTCACTACATAGTCGTATTACATCACAACAACGTGCAATCATATTCACATTTTTGGTCGACATTCTTCTCCTCCTAGTTGTATGGTTGTAGTAGGTGTCCACAATCCTCCTAGTTTTTGATTTTTGTTGTTGTTCTTTCACTCTTGTTCAGTTGGAGCAATTGCGTTGTAAAAAAAAGTTAGTTTGATGAGAAAGAATTATCAATCTAGTCGACTAGTGTTCACATTCTTTGAAGTTATTTTGGTGGCGGTGTCGTTTATATTAAGTAGTAGTTACATTGCTCTTGATTCAGTGTTGCAGTGTAGTAAAGGTGGTGGTCATTGGTTCTTCATTGTACTTGGAGTATGATCTCTATGAGCTCTTAATTATACTCTAGAATCTAAATTTTTGTTATTTTCCTATTTTAAGATAATTGGGTATATTAAATTAGGATTTATTTAAGTAGAATTTGGTTTTATTGAATTTTTAGGATTACAACCATCGATGGCATAAATTACAGGGTAATTCTTTGAATTAGATTAATTAGGACTAAAATAATAAGAATTAAAAAATTAGAATACCAACTTACTTAATTTAATAATTTAAAGGTTGTTAGTCATTACCATGAGGGTTGATTAAAAGCCTATGAATGCACCTATAATCATTCACATGATTTAGGAGTTGGAATTATAATTTTTTAAAAGATTCAGAGAATTTAGCAATGATAATTTTGAATTTTCCACCAAATTTGACAAATTCAAGTAGCATGGTGGTTCTTCTAATTAATGGGAGTCTTTTTAATGCAATGGTGGCACAAGATTTACTCTATGGAGTGAAGAAAATAAGATCATCATCCTTTCCTTCAAAATACAAGTGAAGTAATGAAATTCTCATTTTGAAGAATTTTACAAAAAATTGTCAAGATCCTTATAATTAAAAATTTCTATGAAAATTATAGTTGGGCATGGATTGAGGCATGTGAGTAGTCAATCTTAGATTAAAAAGATGTTTTGAACACAATGGTGAAGTTAGAATTATCAAAAAATGATTTCTTGACCACTTACAAGAGCCATCAACCTTGATAACGAGATTGGCTCTTAGATGAATGAAGGCCATAGATCTAGATTAGGAATCTTAAAAATCAAGGATGGAGATGTAGCCACCCTTCTACAAGCCTCCACTCAATTGTATAAGAGAGGCTTGGTTTTACAAGCCCTCTTTCTCTCTTCTTTTGAATAAAAAGTAAAGCCATACCAAAATGTGGCCAAAACCCTAATCTTAATTTTATTTAGATTTTAAATCTCATTGTAAACCTTATGATTGTATGTGTATGAATTTTGAATTGTGAAGGATGGTCATTAAGTTTTAAAATATGCTTCATTGAGGTAGATAGCTCCTCAGCCTTCCAAATATCCCAAGGGTTTCAAGGGCCTTGGATTTTCCTCAATTAATCATTCATTTTCTTTTGTTTTGATGTGAAATTCCGAATGGTTGTAGCTTTTGTTGTTGCTTGATTTGAAATAAGAAGGAATTTTTTGTGAATTTTTGAGTTTAAGGCAGTCAACTACCTTTGCAGTTTGAATCAATCGAGTTTGGAAAGGCATTTCTCAGTGCTTGATGATTGGCTTTATTTGAAATTTTGGGAGCATCAAGCTTTATAAGCTAAGCTCTGAAAGACACAAGTTTTATTGGATTTGAAGACAATCTGAATTTTTAAGTGAAGAAGGTTGGTCACCGCAGCAGTTTAGATCATTCAACTTCAAAGGAGAAATTTTTACGACTGGATCATTAGATTGTAACAAAAATTGTTGGATCACAAGCGTCTTTAAGTTAGCCTTGTAACAAGCTAAAAATCATTCAAATCAAAGCTGATTACAAATTTTGGCAAATTTTGGAGTAGAAGGGGGATGCTGCCTTCAATCCTTGTGAGTTGTCAAGGTACCTTCACTTTCACCTCTCTTACTTTATTTTTACTATTATCTTCACAATGACTTGTAATCTCCACATTTCACCTTTTGACTAATAAATTTAAAGTTTAACTTTTAACCTTTAATATTATCACTTTCACTTTTAACTTTAACTTTTTAATTTAACTTTTAATTTTAACTCTTAAACTTAATTTTTAATTTTTAACTTTTTAACTTGACCTTTTAATTTTAACTTTTAACTTAACTTTTTTAATTTTAATTTTTAATTTTAATTTTTAATTTTAATTTTAACTTTTTAACTTAACTTTTAACTTAACTTTTAATTCAAACTTAAGTTTTTATTCTTACAATCAATTAATAGTAACAACTTAGTTAATTATTTTTACTATATTTGCATAGTAAATTTCATTTAACATTTCAATTTAATTTTGATAACCATTGCTTGGAAGGCATTAATTTGAACTGAACTACAAACATCCACATTTAAGTTAACTCAACAATTTCACAATTGGGAGTCCCTCCATTCCACCTCCTAAATCTGTTGTGTGGTGAATTTGGGGCTCACAATCTACTACATGTTGTGTGGCGTCAATTTAATGAGTGTTGAATTTGGGGCTCACAATCTACTACAGGGGTGTGCATTGGTGCTGAAGCGGCGAGTCATTCTGATTGGAGTTTTGCAGCGATTGGGTTTTAATGTTGGCAGCTGGTGCTAACGTGAGCAAACTGGTTGCAAAATCTACTTCTTTTCACCCTCGTCCAAGTGCAAAAAGGAGGTGCGGCAGAATCTAGAGGTGTAGTGGCTACGACAACAAAGTTCAAGGTGTTTGAGTTGTTCGCGTGTAAGAAGAAAGCAGCGACGGCCACCCTTCCTTTGGCTGGTGTTCCTCAAGGTGCGAATCTCGAGCAGTGTAGGAGCAAAGCCTTTGGTTGTTGTCAGAAGCTTGCTGCAATTGAGCTTCTTCGTTCCAAAGGCAACGGCAGCACGAATTGACCTACAACAGGTTGTTATTGTGCTCGTCGTGGTCGGCGGATTGATGCCAAATGCTATTGTATCACTAAGACGCTCTTGTTTTGGATTTCGTTGGATTCAGTCATCACCATGTGGTGCTAAGTTTTACGACGTCAACGGTTGTCTAAAGTTGATGTTGGCGGCAGTGACACTTAACTTTGAGTTGGGTACTCTTCTTCTTCCCTTGTTCTTGATCCGGTGCTTGTCTGTGAATTTCCTGTGTGGTTGGACATCGACGGCAACGACTTTGGGAGCGGCTAATAAGCAAATTCTTGCCAAGGGATCCGACTCTCGTGTTTCATTGATTTTTTATTTCTTCTTCCTTTTGTTACTTCCCATGATCCAAATCATATGCGATCCATCTTCAAAGTGGCGCAAGTGCTCAAATTGTGGTTGTCTAGATCGGGAGCGATGAGGCTATCGTGATACTACATGTTCCCAATTAAATTGTGCATCAGCGAAATTAGTCTTGGAAGGTCCAGTGGCATTGTGGTGATTGTTGGGACACTAATCTACCTCAAGCGCTCTCTCCAATGAGGATATAGAGTGGCAAATGGTCGAAGTTGCATTGCAGCGGTTCCAGCACTGGCTGCGACCAATTCAGTATTAACACCCAGCATCAATCCTTCCATGTACCTTCTTGATTGTGGCATTTCGAGCGGTGCTTTTGAGAGGATCGCGGTGTAGTGCGGCAATTGATTTTTACGCAATCTGCTAGTGGCAATAAAGGCATTATTTGTAGGGATGTTCTAGCATTGCTCCTGAGAACTACAATTAGATGGTGTTGTAGCCATGGACTGACGGCCATTTAGGGTCAATCACGTACTAGCATTCAGACTTGATCAAAATTACAAGGTCACACAAGTAGTTGTTAGACCTATTGAAGATACAAGAGACCCAACTCATTGCAAACACGACTGCCAAGGAGGTGGCTGATCTGGAGTTTGACAACCTAGGAGTTCCATTGCAACAAGGGAGCCACACCTGAAGATTGAAGCCTTAGGCATTGGCCGTCCTGCAGTGCTAACAACAAGGTGAATGAAATCTTGACAGATGAAGTTAAGGCAGAAGAAATTAAGGTTAGGAACCGGATGAATTAGGATGATGAGTAATGGATAAATGTTGATTGGAATTGAATGAATTCTCATTAGTAGATAAGAAGTTATTTGTGGATGAAAATTCGTTCATGGATGGAATTTTTCTTGGATAAATTTTGAAATTTGGATGATATTTAATACTAGATAAAAATTAAAAATTAAAAATAAATAGACTTAAATTAAATCATGTAAAAAGTTGTTCTTTAAGGGTGTATCTTAGTTGAGTCAATTGAGTGCCTTGTGGTGTATGGAAGTGGTTTTAATTCTCTAGCTAAGAGAATTAAGAATTTAAGATAAAATAGAAGACAACTTGAGTAATTAAATTGGAAGCTAGTTAATAGTTGTGAATTAGCATAGACTTCCAACTAATGGGGGTTTATTTTACTTCACATTCCTCATAGACAATACACCATTGCACATTATAAATAACAAGATTTCTCCCAATGTGGATATATGTGCACTTCTTCCAAATACAACTTTCAAGATTTAGCTAATGGATGTTAGAATCATTATGGCATTCAAGTAGTACTACCAATGCTTCCATTTGTAGAATGTACTTGACCAAGATAAGCAAAATGAGATCAACTTATACAAGGTCGACCAATTGACGGCAATGTAGTAAGCACTTGCGGTTTGGACACAAATATCTTTAATAATAATACAAATTTGTTTTTGGCATACTAGATTGTTTGAGCTAGCACTCAAAGTTGTACAAATTGATCATGAAGAAACAGTCAAAGAGGGCTAGTGGGCATAATTTTGGGTCTTCTATTACAAAATCTAATGTCAATCAAAAATCTACTCAATCTAATCAAAGAAAATAGTACACACATCAAAGAACTTGTTTGTCATCAACAAATAAAGGGAGGCGAAGATGTTGACAACACCCTTGAGGAAGATTATATGCTAGAGTTGTTCGCGCATATGGAGAAGTTGCAAAGCCTTTTTGTGGTTATATCTATGTTAGATATTGGGAATGTGGATAAATATGCTACCTACAAGTTCTTTTCATCATTTAATAGAAGCTGCATATAAGAGCCCTCTAGCAGAGCATGTTGGATTCTTGGCTAAGTTAGATTCTCTACTATTTATTCCCTCCACAAAGTTATAGCCTTCTATTTTTTCCCTCCTTAGCCATAACTAATAAATTCCGAGAATTATAACTTTACTATAGTATAACCAAGTTGATTCCTCAGTTTTTTTAAACTTATCGGAGATTATAACATATTGGGAGATAACTTACAAGAAGTAATATTATATATAAAAAGATAATTTTAATTATTATGACATAATTTTACGATATTAAAATTTTAAAAAGTTAATAAAAGAATTAAAGTATATATATGCTAAAAAAATAGTATTAACAACTATAATTTAAATCAAACAAAATTATGTTATCTTTATCATTTACACTTTTAAAAATTAGAAATAAAAATTATACATATTAATATAAATACCATTCACAAATCAAAATACAAAAGTCATGACTTATGTTATATATGTGTGTATCAACAAACATATAAACAAGCACATACATAATTAGATATAATTAGATTTTGTCTATATGTATTTTTGTTGATAGATGTTTAAAAGTATGAAATAACTAGAAAATATTATATGATCACTATACATAATAAATAAAACAATGGTGATAGAATGGAATTAAGTTATAAGATGAAGTAATTTTATATTTAAAATATATAATTTAGTAAAAAAATTGACTAACTAAAAATAAGATAATCGATTTTTTGTGAATTTTTGGAACATGTTAGATAAATACCTATATATATATATATATATATATATATAGAAATACAATTTGCATGTAGGGCATTTATAAGGTTGTAATAAGCAATAATTGCACAGAATTGATAATAATATTAGCAAATATTTCAATATTGTATCTTTGATAACATATAACAATATAAATTTATATATATATATATATATATATATATATTCAAGCTTTATGAAAGTACATAAAGATATATCCACTTAAGAATTTAACACTCATTCATCTAATTTCTAATAAGTCCTATTGCAAGATCTGACAATGTGAATGAGAAGCTAAGATTTACAACAAAAACAAAACAAATAAAAAGTGGCTTCATCCACCTCCCCAAGTAAACTTAAATTATTGTTTTCGTTTATTATTATCAGACAATGAAGTAAAAAGAAAAGGTTGAAATCTACCCAAAAAAGTTGAAACAATAGTTAGAAAACTTTGTCGCTTCTATCGTGCGTCTGCTCGTGTTTTAGTCGATGCTCGCAGATTTGCGTGATTCCTCGGGTATGAACGCGGCTCGGTGGATTCCGCTGCATTAGGGTTTGCTCCGTCGATCGATGTCAATTGGCGCCGTGGGGAAACGTCCGTGCATGTTTGTGTGAGCTTGTTGACTGGATTGACCAAGGTTGGATAATTTAAGTGAGGGATTTGTGAAGGAGGCGGAGGAATGGAGTAAGCTATGAGCTCCACGGACATGGCGGGACGAATTGCTCTGTTCGATGTGCATTGCCATTTGCAGGATCCCCGCATCTTGCAAAAGGCGCCGGAGATTATCAGAACTGCCGCAGAGAAAGGCGTGAAATGGATGGCCGTAAATGGAACGTCGGAAGAAGATTGGCAAACTGTGAAGCAGATGGGGGAGGAATATCCGTGTGTCGTACCTTGCTACGGGTTGCATCCGTGGTACGTGAATGAGAGGTCTACAGATTGGCTGTCGAAGCTGAAATCCATACTCGAGAACGAGCCTACAGCGGCTGTGGGCGAAGTGGGACTTTGCCAGAGCAATAGGGGCAAGCAGGTGGATCAAAATTTGCAAGTGGAGGTTCTTAAGCAACAGCTGCACCTCGCAAGAGAGCTCAAGAGACCAGTCGCCGTGCACTGCGTCCGCGCCTTCACTCCTCTTCTTCAAGTGCTAGAAGAGATGGGAAGTTTTCCAGAGGGCCTCATTATGCATTCCTTCATGGGTAATCAGGAGCAAGTAAAGCAGCTGGCGAAGTTTGGCGCCTACTTTTCATTTTCTGGCTTCTCCACGTCTCTTAAGCGTCAGAAAGCGAAACAGACATGGCGTGCAGTTCCCTTAGACAAGCTGCTACTGGAGACGGATTGTCCTGATGCGCTGCCTCAGTTGGAATCGAACTCCCTTGTCTGGGTTGCGGGGGATCCAGATGCTCCTGCTTCACAGTCCAAGTGTTGTGAAGGCAAGGGCGAGGGCGGTGCAGATATTGAAGCTTCGTCCGAAGTTGGGAAGGGAGCACTCAACCAGCCTGCAAATGTTCGACCTCTTCTTACTCATGTTGCATCGTTGCTTGAAATTCCTGAAATGGAGTTAGCAGAGAAGGCCTTCAGAAACTCCGTGCACTTGTTCTCATATCCAGGGTCGAAGGTTCGGTGTTGATTTTCTTGCAATTTTGTGCTTGGTCGGTCAAGTAGGCACGTCCATATAAAGGCCAACAATTCATGTGTCATGTGACTGATGATACGCATTTGCTATCATGGGCACTCAACATGTGGTAAGCAATCTCTGTGGACTTGATTTTTTTCCATGGAAACTGTCAAAGCATTTCAGATCTCTATGAGTCTTTCAGAAAGCGCCGAGACTGTGCCTGAGCTCAATTTGAGCGCACCATTGCTGGGACTGTCGTTACTGATTTTTCAAGAGCCACAATAGCTTGTTTTCTACACTCATCCCTGAACTCCTCATCGTCTATATAGAAACTCTAAACGAATAGGCTGCTTGATAAAAATTGATGAAGGTCTTACAGAGCTAGGACCTGCCTCCTTGTTCTACTATAATTTCTTGTTTATCTCATTGACATGAGAGAGAATTTTTTCTTCAAATATTCTACGAAAAATTCACGTACTAGCTAGCAATAATAAAGGAGAATTAAGTCAACGATAATATGGAAAACAAAATAAAACAAAATCGGATTTTGAAATCAGGGAGATATTTCATTAGAGGATGCTAGCAACTTAAAAAAGTTGTAGAAGATCCATTTTTTATAACATTAAGGAAGTACATGTAAATATGTTGTGCTTTTTCTTTTTTGCCTTTTTAAATTATGACTAGTGATTATAGATTCAAAGGTACATGGAAGTGGAAGGTCATGGAAGAAGAATAAAAATCACTTATACAAAACAGCACACAAGAATTTACCCTATTTTTATAAAGTCGGACCAATGTAGATTTCAAATCAAAGTTTTGTACCAAATAAATAGTTTAAGTGAAATTTTAAAGCAAAACAGATAATGTGTAGCCAAATAAACTTTTAAATTCAAAGTCCATAACTCTTACAATATGATTTTTTTTTATTGTCAGAATTAATGCACTTCAAAATATAATTATAATTAGAAGATTTTTGAAATAAGAAGTATACAAAATAGACAGAAAAATGTATTCTTAGATAGAAAATTAGAAAAAAGATATTGCTGCAATAAAATCCTAAAATTCGTGCAAAAAAATTCAAAACGTAAAGACATAAATCTTAGCAACACAATTGTTTCTAATAAATAAATAAGTATATACATGATATTAATTGATTTTTTTAAACATGATACCAATGTGTTACAATATTACATAAAAAAATAAAGGTTTTACATGTAGCCATGTTATTACTTGTTTGCATGTACAAAAATTAATTATTCTATATTTATTGTATTTATTTATTTATTTATTTATTTATTTATTGTACTTATTGCATTTACTTATGCAGAAGAGAAATAAAATAAAAAAATACTTGTTAAAGATAATTTAAATTGAAGTTATTTCAAATAATCTCTAAACGTTGTAATATTGTCTTTGTTAAAATTTGCAAAAATAAAGAAGCATATATACTTGCTACAAGTTAAAGCATATATCTCAATAGTGTGATTAAGCTTTTTAATATAAAATCTTCAAAACTTATAGATTTGTTTTCTGATTCATGTTTTAATATATATATATATATATATATATATATATATATATATAAAAAATATCAAGACAAACAAAATAAGATGTAATTTATTTTTAAGCAAAAAATTATAATTATAATTATAATATCATTTTAATCTTAAAAAATTAAATTTAAACAAATATGTAAAATAGTAGTAAAAATAACGAGTTTTTAAAAGTATACTTTAGAATTGAAGTTGTACTTTAAATAAATATTACTGCATCAAGAAGATATTATATCAAAAGAATGTATTAGAAATTAATTTCTAATATCAATTTAAAATACAAAAAAAATTGGTATTTATGTTTAAGACAAAGTCATTTTGTAGAATTTTAAGTACAAATATGTTATTTTAAAAATTCTATAAGCATAAAATACAAATAAAATACTTAGACATAAATATATATATATATATATATATATATATATTGGTTACTTTAGAATTATTTTGGTTGATATAGCTTATATACAAGATAAACCTATGATAAAATTATCATGCACTATCTCAATAAGAATTACTTAGATATTAAGAAATTAAAAAAGAAAATCAAATAAACAACCTTAATTTGAATCCAAAATACTAATATGTACAAAATCTAAAATAATAATAATAATAATAATAATAATAGAATAGCCTACTAAAATAGGAAATGGCAAAAAATACACCAACTTGACTAATTTCAAATTATTAAAAATTTATATTATTCAAGTAAAATATTTTATTGAATAATAGATATTTATTCAAGTTAAATGAAAATTTAAATATAATACTTTTAAATTCAAGTTATAAAATTGATTAATTTATCTAAAAAGTCCATGAGATAATCTAATTTATTTCTTTGATTTATATTATATATATATCAAATTATAAGATAAAATCCTTTAAAAGACATGATTGAGATGGTGGTTGATTGTAAAAGTTCTTTAATTGCATTAGAAGTTGCAGCTAGTCTAAAATGTAGCAGTGTAAATTAGTAGATAAAAAAACTCTCTAAACAATTACTTCAAGATTGATTAATTTTAGAGAGTCTCAGATAAGTTAAATTAAAATTTAATACTAACTTTCAAAAATTTCAATTAAAAAGACATAAATGATATCAACAAGATTTCTAACTACATTGCCTCAATCAACTACAAAGATAGAATCTACCACCTTATTAAATTGTAGTTCCTTGATTTTAAAGGAAGAAATCACTATATATATTATAGGCATAATAAGATAGTTTAGTCATACTAATATGACTAATACACAATCAACAAGTTATATTGTAGAAATTATGCTAGTCACTAATTTATGACAAGCATATAAATTAGAGAGTATAGTTTGTATTTATAAGGTCTTAGATATATATTTTTTATTAAATTTAATTATAATTGGATTGCAAGATTATTATCCAATATTTTGATGGATAAGCTTGACACCATTGACACAAAAATATATACATAGATTTTATTAATAAATTCTAAACTCTAAAATTTAATTTATTATGTAGAATTAATAGATTAGAAAAGATGCTTTACGTTCAATAAGAAAATATGCTAAGAAAAATAATGCATTGAAGAGTGTACCTATACATCCTCCTCCTAACAAAAAATATAAGATATGAGACATGTTTTTTTTATTGAAGTTTTTTATTTTTCTTCCTATAGTGATTATATCAATATCTATTGATCTTGATTTTGATAAAATAGGTAATGTGTACATTATAATGCTTAGAACTTTTGCAAATTCTAAGGTGAAATTAGTCACATTATAAAAAAATACTTTGATATCAACCATTAGAATATAATTTTTTTTTAGTTAATTCTTAATTACCATATTAGGTACATTTAGGCATTTTCTTGTATACATTGCAATATATTCATCTCAATAAAAAATAAAAATAAAAAATTGCTCAAGTTGTAGGAGAGGCATTAGATGTGTCAAATATTAAAATTGGTTTAATTTTGGATAATATCTTATCATGATTAGGTAGCCTAAGCCACTCAGAAGTCCTAAGAACTAGAATAATTGATCAACCATTGATACAAAAATATACAATATATTGTCTCTAAAATTAAGATTGAATAAGATTATCATTTTTAACTTTAGACATTAGAGAACTATGTTAAATAATGAATTGATTGCACTTATTGAAAACATCTTATATTGTGATATATAGTATCTTAAGCATAATTAATAGATAAAATTTGTATATAGATAGATTTTATGTAATTTAATGTTGTATATTTTTTTACAAAATAATTTTAGATTTTGGCTATTGTAATTTATTCCATTAAAGTATATGAGGTGTAGAAATATAAACAAAGATTTTGGACAGATTTTTTGACTTATTATATTTTTTTTAAAAAAATTTACAAAATACGTTTTTTATCTATATTAAAGCACACATCCAAAATTTAAGAGTGGCATTATTTTGCTTCCAAATATGTATATTAGTTACCAATAAATTATTGTAAAAGCTTCTTGAGGATTACAAAATATGTACTTCAAACATCACATTGTAAGATACTTTTAATATAACTTTTCAAAAGTAAAAGACTTATGTAACAAGTTTCAATAGCCACATGGTATACTTATATGACTAAGTTTAGGATTTAGAATTTAAGATTATAAAGGTATCCTAGATGTTTAGGTTAATTTTTTATTCTTTTATTTAAACTTGAAATTTGGCTTACCTCTCTTCTTTTATTTTTGATACTTATAAGTTTAACGGTGCAATGAAAAATCTCTAAAAATATAAATATTCAAAAATATGAGTGAATAAAACTTTAGAACTGAATTTATTTATTTTGTGGTAATAAATAATGATAAAGCGACCCAAATTTTTACTAAAGTGATTCACTCTATCTCAACCATCATTGTATCTTTTCAACTCCATCTCTATTCTTAGCCATTCTCCATTCTCAACCATTACTAAAGATAGAAGAGGGATGATAGAAACATTAAGAATGGGGGCAATGGTTGGAATAGAAGAATGGCTGGGAATAGAAATGGGATTGAAAGGGTACAATGATGGTTTAAACATGTAGGTTGATTTAGTAAAAATTTGAATTACTTTATCATTTTTCTAAATATAATTACTTTTTATGTAAATCTTATTTGTACTATAATACCAAGATTGGAATTTTTAGGATTTTAAGATTTATAAAACTTATGGTTACAAAATCTTTTTTGAGATTTTTAGTCCTTTTTTATCATTATTCATTTTTTGACATACATAATATAATGAATGTTATCTATATTCCAATCTAATACCTAAAAAATATTTCCTATACATATCTTCTAATATTCTTTCTCATATTATTAACATGTGTTGCATTTAATTTAATTTATTGCTCATTTTGCAAGTTATCATGGATATATCATCTACATTTTGTTTTTACATGACAAAAAATATTGTATGGCACAACTTTTGATAGATTTTGACTTTGATTTTACATTTTTTTTTTTTTATCTTTGGCTTAAAAGAAAATGAGTACATCTTTGCATATTGCATCTCTCATATACTTGTCTTGCTACAAATCTTTGACTTTCTAATTGAATGTTATTAATTTTTTTAAAAAAGTAAAATTTATTTTTTAAAAAAATCTATTTTTATAGTCAAAATATATATATCTAAATGAATAGAAGGGTCCATTTTTGCATAATAATGTTTTATGAAGAAATCCATTTTAGGCACTATAATAGAAATCTCCTATTTTATACCAAAAAATTAAACTTGACATAATTTTTCACTTAAATAATCAAATACTTATGATATAGAAAAAATAAGAATATTGACTCGGTTTCTATATAATACCAAACTATTAGAATCAACTATCAATATTAAACTATAATTAATTTGCAACATCTTCACAACTTTAATTTTTAAACATTTTTTTTCATCATGATTATTCCTAGAAAAAAAACTTAACTATTATGCATTAAATGATATGTAATCAATACTAAAATCATATAACTAAGCCATTATATTAAATAAATTTGAAAAATCAATCAACAACATCTTAAAACAAGTAGCATCAAGCTCCATATATTATTAATTATTAATTTCATGTCCTTCTAAATTAATACATGGTAAAAATAAAAAATAAAAAGAGTTGGAAATTAAATTAAAAGAATATGTATATGACTTTTAATAGAAAAGATAGAGAATAAGCATCTTGAAGTGTTAATAGGTTGCCTTTAAACATTTAAACTTCTACACAAAAATTAGTGATTTTAATATATATCATAGCAAAACTATTTTAAATTCTAAATTCTAAACTCTAAGTCCTAAATCGTAAATCATAAGCCATAATAGTACACTAAGTTGGCATGAAAGATTATTTAAGTGTATACAAAAGAATTCATTAATACTAATTTCAAAAAATTGTTACTATTTAATCTAAATATTCATTAACTATGATAACACTATCAAAAAATAATACATATAGAAATTAGACAATGAAACAAATATGTAGAAACTATTATAAAATAAATAAATATACAAAGTAAGACCATTATGTTATATCTGGATAAAAAGAAGTTTATGAGATTGGCAATGATGCTAGAGTTATTTGGTGCTTTAGATCTTTAATTGAATTAATATTAACTTGACAAAAGAATTAGTAATAAATAAATAAATAAATAAAAATGATTTAGAGATTAGATGAAAATGGCAAAGATTGGCTTTACTAATGGAATCCTTTACTAATTGGTTTGAAGAAAGTACTAGCATGGTTTTAATGTGTAATAAATAAGGTGTAGTTAATGTTGGACTTTTTGGATGTTATATTAATAATATATTTATTTTTAATTAGAATCTTAAGAAATATCAAAAGCTTATGCAAGAAACATTTGTAAGTTTGGAACTTCATAGCTTTATTTTTATCCTAACAATTGTAAGTTTTGATTTGACAAGATAAGGCATCTTGATTATATGATAATTCTTACAAAAATAGATATAATGGCTTGTAATAGTGGTACTTATAGTTTCAATGCCAAGAGTATATGATGTGAATTAATTGAGGGCATTTTTAGGACTAGATTATATTATAGAATATTTATTAAGTAATTTAGTGCAATTACAAAAACTTTAACTATGTAAAAAAATAATGACCAATCTTAGATGTAAAGAGAAGAATACAACTCATTTTTTATAAAATTAAATAAAATTTTAATATAAACACTAATTTTTAAAAGCTTCTTTATTAGAAGTTCTTATCAACTTCATATTGATTGGAATATTTTAAATATTAATAGACTATTAATTTAAATAAATAATGAAGGAAAATAGTTTATTATAGCTTATGATGGTTGATCTAACAACATTATTAAAATTCAATACAATTTTTATGAGAGTGAATTATATTTCAATAGTCATATAAAAAATTTATAATTTTTTTTGTTATTTTTATAAAAGAGTGTTTATTCTAATAACAAATTATCAACCATTGAGATAATTGATGAAGTCAAACAAGCTAAGATAAAAGCTTACAAAATAGATTTTAATGTTGATAGAATATGACTTTTAAGTTATATATTGAGTTAACATAAGTATATAGAAGTGCACCATATCACTTGTAAAACATTTATGGCAAGATTGATACGAAGATTCTCAAATTTCAATTAGAATAAAATGCATATTATGTAGACACATGTAATGCATTGCTACCATGATTTGTATGATGATTGTTTAATAAGATTGCAAATGGAGTATTTGATCTCACTATTGGAAGTTATTTCAATTAATCTTTGATCTTGTTACAAGTATATTAAATGTATTAGGTGTTTAAAAGACAATGAAAGAGTTTTTACTCATATTGTCAAAATATCTTATAAAAAATGATGTTTTAGAATTTTGCTAGTGTGAAAGGAGCTTTGATATTAATAATTAGAAAAAGTAAAAGGGATATTTATAACCTACTTATTATTTATGGATTATGAATATTTATTTTCTTTATTTTCTTCTAATTATTTATTGACTATATGTTATTTGTAGTGATAAAGTTTTGTTTTTATTTAATCATGGATTTATAGTAATATTTGTTGCAATTTAGTACAATCACATGCCATAGTGTAGTTGAAGCTATAACTATTGTTACTAGTGACATAGTATGTTCATATAATCACAACTTATTTTATGTAGTTAGAAATGTTAGATTAGTGTAATAGTGTTTTTTTACTGAGATCTTAGAATGAAATTAGTGATTATGCAAGTTATTGAAAATTACTTTATATATTTTGACAATAAAAGATGTAGTCCTATTATTTCCTAGATAGGTGTTGATTTCTACTGAATAAATGTTATTACAACATATTTAATATAAAAGTAATTATCATTAGTCATGAATAATATTGTTACTATTAATTTGACAACCTAACTCTCATTCTTACTTGTTGGCACAATGTATTTTTTCTATAATATATTTTTGTATGACATATCCTCTAGGTTGAAGGACTCATTTGCATTTCTATTACAAGTAGGTATAGAAATTAAGATCTACATTTCAAGATTAGAAATTTAGATTGAAAAATTAAAATTTACAAAATTAAAGATTATGATTTAAGATCAAAGATTTTAATCAAGAAATTAAAATATTGTGAAAGAAAAGAATCAACTAAACAATTTGTAGAAAAGCTTCCTACTCTTTGTGACCAAAACATACCCTTAAGACGTAATTAAAAAAAATGATTTTTTTAAAGAATTGTAAGAGATTTCTTGTTCTACTCTTATTTATAAAAAATAATAAAAAAAAAAAAAAAAAAAAAAAAAAAGAAGAAAGAAAGACTGATTTTTATATAGAAATCAAAGTAACTAAATTATTATCAATATTGCTTCTTAGTAAAGCAACAAAACAACCATGACAAAATTTTCTAAATTATTCCAATGGTGAAGACAACAAAGGAGGACAAAGGCTTTAAAGACATCCTCCAAATTTGTACCATAGATGAATTATGCATAACAAGAATTTATTCACAACCATCTATTGGGATTCTACCTAGTTTGTTGCCCATATGCTATCTTGAAGAAACAAACAAGTTTGACAAATATAACTTTTATATATATACTGCAACATTTTCTTGGACCAACACCAACTAGAGAAGCTAATATGGTTGGTTGGAAAAGCATTTCAAAGATTCAAACCCCAACAGCATCAACGATAAAGAGTAGTTGTTAGGAATTTTGTTTTGGCCAATTACCCTCTCCCCTTCTTAGGCCCTCAAAGTTCTCCGACCAATTTCCAGTTGGTATAACCAGATGTGGTTAGACAGACTTCACGAACTGAGCATAATGCATTATGAAGTTAGTTATGAAGTTAGTGATAATGGCAGCTGAGGTTCCTTGAAAATACAGATTGAAATGCATACACTAACACGTTAAAACTGAGCCATTCCAAGTACACGTTCAAATTCCCGGATAGATAAATAAAAGGACTACACTCTTGTGATAACCATGACCCCTTAGGACACGCCAATGTCCCAAGTCTACAACTTCAAAGAAATAATGAGTGAGAGTGCTACTACAAAGCTCGAAAGAAACCATGAGGGTGTTGTACAACGCTAGTTCAGGAATAAAATGCTACAAAATTGGCCACTGCTTATTGTCCTACAGGTACATTAGGGTTGACGACCCCGTCAGTCGCCAAAGATGATTTCACAAGTCTTTCCAGTCTCTTCTTTAAATAGTCATTGCCAAAAGATTGTAGTACCTCTGCCCCAAATGAGAAAACTAGAGCACTTCGTGCAGTCAGGGGATCGATCCCTCGTGCCTGAAAATAAAACAGTTGTTCCTCTTCCAAATCTGAGATTGCAGCTCCGTGTGTACATTTTACATCATCGGCAATAATCTGTAGGTTGGGCTTCACATTCACAGTTGCTCCTTGTGCTAGTAACAAACTTCGACTCAATTGCCCCGCATCTGTCTGCTGTGCAAACCTGCAACAGAAAGCAGCAGTAACAAAAGGATACTTGGCGTCAAAAAGGCATTCTTAATATAACTCAGAAACTCGCGTTTATCAAATAATGGAACTTGATAATGCAGTTATCAAAACAAGGATGGTTGCAGCTTTTACCTGTTCACCTTGACGTTGCCATCGAACACCGCCTGACCTAACCTGTGAGTCACGATACATTTATGAATCTGGCGACTGATTCCTCTCGGATGATCGAGGACCAGCCTGCTGTGCAGGTCTTGCACCTGCCGCTTACTCGATAATGAGAAAGTAGAGAATTCAGTCTGTGTGTCAGAGCCTAACTGGATAACTTGAAGATTGTGCCTACTCAAACGCCCGCCAACTTCGGCCTCTACCAATTTGTACGTGCTTTTTTCTCCCTGGTACACGTATCCCCAAACCAATTAATTTCAGACCAAAGAACAAACTGATGATAGTTTCCTCATAGCTCGCTGCAGATGAACTACAAAGGAAGAAAAAGAAAAAGAGAAAAAAGAAAAAGAAAAGGAAAAAGAAAAAAACGTTGAACATCACAAAGGACACTCCAATCGTCTGTCTTCAAACAAAAGTAGTACGAATAACAAGAAAATGAATTGCCTACTTACTCGCCAATCAACCAGCGAAGTTCCTTTCCGTCGTCGTTCATTCACCCAACTTCCAATCCAATTACGAAAAAAACATCTCAAATACCATTTCGTGGACACTACAACTAACCTGGGAAACATGGGTCTGTTTGATGTGTACAGCGCTTCGCTCTTGCTCCTGAGAGCAACTATGAGAAACTTCTGCTCCATTTGCAACATATATTTCACAAACTTGGTTTGTCCAATAGACTTGATCAGGTGCTCCAACAAATTGCTCAATAATCTCCACTCTAGCACCACTCTCTGCCACAACTAGCAAACGAGGAGTTGCCAAAGATATGGAAGTCACTTCCTCGCCGTCCTTGGACCCTCCCCTTCCTGTAGAGTAGTATACAACATGAATTGGTTTTGATAATTGGACACCCTTAGGCGCAAAAACGAGGCCAGCATCCTGCACCCCTAATCCATTCAAAAAGGTGAAGAGATCGTCTTGGGTTCCAGCTGCAGGTTTCCCGAGATATTCTAATGCTTGTGACAAGGCGCTTCCTGCACTGTCAGCAGTAATCTTACAAACGCTTCCAACATATGCCCCGCCTGATAAGCCCTCCACCTTGGATAAGGATTCTGATATCACGCCGTCAACAAACACGAGACGGAAGGCCTCCGTTTCTCCGAGACCAAGTTCTGCCAAGATTACAATTGATATTAGTTGCCTCACAAGTCGTTAAGTCTGCGAAACATAACGTCGAACATCCACATTGATTACCTGATTCAAAGTTCGGTACGCTCGCTGGTTGAGCAGGTGTTGGGGCGATGTCAAGATTTTTCAAAAACCTCACATCAGTGAACCTGTAAGCCTCGTCTTTATTGGTGGGCCATCGCAAGTTTAATGCCTGTTCAGCTGACTTATACCTAAGCTCTGCCAAAGCACGGGCGCCTAGAGAATCCCCCTGTTCCTCACTAGGTACAGAGTTTTCCAGTTTCTCTGCGAGGTCCAGCAGGAAGAAATCAGGACCACCAGGGTCCTTAGACAATGAGAACGATGCCTCGGCCTGATCTCTGAGCGATCCAGAAACAGCACCGGATGCTTCTGACTTCACCGCTTCAGCAATAGTAGCTCTGGTGCCAACCCCCAGCTGACCATACCACCCATTCAACCACCTCTCCAACAAACCAGGCATGAAAAAACCCAGTGCAAATTCAAGCCTAATTACAAAATTACCTATACCCTGTTCCACTAAAGCTCCAACGTAAGAGGACATGCCAAAGCTTGCACCCACTTTACCAAAATTCTCAAAGCCTTGCAAAATTCAAACAGCAATAGTAAAACCCTCATTCTCACAAGCAAGAGTGTAAGAGCATTATAACACGACGCACCTTCCCAGTCGCTCGGAAGCGCTGGGCGGCGAAATTGACAGGGACGAAGCATTTGTGAGAAGAAATTCGCGAAACCGCAGCGCCCTGCCTGGAGGAGGCCAGCGCGCCGGTCACACCAGCGCTCCCTGTTGCCGCTGCCATCGCCATTGCTCCTCGCGCAACAATAAAATGCTTCCACAGCTCGTCGTCGCGCAACAAGCCCCACCACTTAGCTCAAATCCTTCGTTTACCACCTTCGCACTGCCATTCACGCACCCCGCGCAACAATCAATCAATCCCCTTTCTTCCTCCCTCCCTCACTCGCAAATCCTGCGGAGCCCGTCGAATTTTCCTTATCCGTCGTCTCGTCGCAAACGTATCGAGGTGCCCCGCCCGCATCATCCCTTCATCGGGAACCTTCGGGAACCTCGGGAATCACGGCGGGAGGGAACATTCGAACGCGAATATGGATGAACGAAATTTACGGATGCGATCTAGTATTTCGTCGGTCATTCGTTGCCTTGCGCTTGAGCCATTCGTGGTTTTATTGGTTAATTTGAAGCATAATTGGGAGTCCCAAGCGTGGGTAAACTTCATTGTTTGGGTTTTTTATTTTATTTTTTCTGATTGGTGGGTCTCTTTTTCAGAATGTCGGGAGCATGGAGTGCCGTGCACAATGATGGATAGAATGTGGGTTGAATTAAATCTATATCTTTTACTAACTAGAAGAGTGTGTATCAAATTTCAAACACAAAAGAGATCTGTGCTTTAATTAGGAGAGTTTGAAATTCAGGTTTATGTATGCGGCACTCAACTGAGAATTTCACTAAAGTCTAGAGACGTGAATGGCTGTCACTGAAACATTATATATATATATATATATATATTCTTGGCTAATATGTTCCTAACACACAGATGCATTTGTAGGAATATATTACTTTTCTATGTTTGAGCTTAAGTGAAATGAAATGGCTTGTTTCCGACAGTAGAAAACAAGTACAATTTTGTATTCATAACTTCAAGATCAACTAACAATTTCCTGTAGATTAAATTAATTTATGTCATTGCATTGTCCAAATTTTGTGAACTTTTTTCATCATTGCAATAACTATTTATTTCTATCTTTAAAATTCTTTATTGGGGATAAAAGCATAGTATCTCTTTATAATAATAATAATAAAATTATGAATTAAAGATTATATATATGTATGTATATATATATATATATATATATATGTATGTATATATATATATATATATATTTAGGAGAATATTAAATAGATCCATGCTTTCAATATATAGATCCACCTTTGTTGAAGAATATGATAACCATGATGAATGTGGTTGGTTTTTATTGGTTGTGGAGACAATAATGAGGAAATGAATCTAAAAATCATTATTATTTTTCATGATGGTTAGAATGAGTGGATCAATTTAATAAAAACTTGGATCTATTCAACACTTTCATATATATATATATATATAATATAATATTAGAATTAAAACAAAAAATCATTGCAAATATCATGTATTATTTTTTAAAAACTATATATATATATATATAATTAAAATATAATTATTCTGAAAATTTTAGTAAGACCACATTGTAAGAACTATCATCACGTTAAAATAATGTAATGAAATTGATAACTTCTATTATAAATAAAAACTCAAACTTCAAAATCAATTCATGTACATGGTTTTAAAATTTAACTTTAAGTATTTATGTTTTAGGAAAGACATGGTTATATTCATATGTGTTATAAATTTACTTTTAACAAATATCTCATATTTTAAATATCCTACTAACTTTAGATTTTCTTTAAAAATAATTTTAAAACTTACTTTACAAGACACAATGTGTTGTATAATACAACAATGACTACATGTTTTTAAAGTATGATTGTAATTTATTTCCATCTTTTGTAAATACCTTGCATTTCAGCTAATGAATAATTAATTTCAAACTGTTTTTTTATAAATGCAAGTGACTGTGTTTTATTAACAACTATTGAAGATTTACAACATCATTTGTTGAAATGAAACACCTTGTTTGTTCTACAACAAACAATAAGAGAATTCAAACTTGGCACTTTTGCAAAACCAAATAACTAGATTCAACACTTGATATATCCAAGATCACTTGAAATATCAAATCCGAAATATCAAATCCGAAATATCACTATTCAAACTTTAAAACAATCTACAAGTTTCTGAAGTATCACTAGATATTTTGGTGATTTGGAAGTGTCAAAGAGCGGTATGGTATGGAGTCAAAGAATGAAGAGAGTTAAGGAAAGCGACATGATTTTTGATATTTCCTCCACCCATCTATTGATATTTGGATTTCAAAATCACCCACCTTGCGAAGTATATGATTTGGTGAAGTATCAAGTGAATCTTCAAAATCTCATCACAAGTGAAATATCACCCAAAAAGGCCAAGTCTGAATTCTCTTAATAGTTACATATGTTTACAAAAGCAAGTTTTAAAATTCTTTGATGCAACATATCTGTTAAACTAGAGTACTATGTATTTTTTTTTCTTCTCCAAATTTTAAACCAGTAAATTCTGGATGGTCTACCAAAGTTTTAAAATCGAAATTAAAATAAAAAATAATACACAGCTTCTTGTTATATCCAAAAATTTCCGTAGTAGAAAAATCATGTTATGTTTACTCCACAAAAAAGGAATACGTTGAATTCTGTTGGAACAAAAAATGCTCTTGTTGATAAATAAATACTTATTTATTTCTTTGTACTTTTGTAGAGTCCTACCTATGTTTTCTTTTGCAGAGTCACCCAAAAAATATAAATAAGTAGGTCTCTACAAAAGACAACATGTGTGTATGATAAGAATTAATTTTGCTTTGAATACTTTACAAACATGAGAAAATAACTAACTAAAAAAGGAATATCCTTATGAATCAATGCAACAGTTCATTAACACACACGCATATATATAAATATTTGGTGCAAACACATTGATCTAATCTCCTTTGTACGATGCTATAGAATGAAAATGAATGAAAATGAATGAATCAACTTCGACCCTTCACTAAGGCATGCATGGTCACATGGAGACATTTTCTAGGGTACTTGGAATCTGGCAAAATCAACGATAGGGGTCAAACTTCCTAAATCTGGAGGGTAAACGCTATAGGAAAAAGCCTTCGGGCTACTTTTAGCTTTTAATTTCGGCGAGGGTTCGACTCCCAACAACGGAACATCTGCGTCTTCCCCGACAAGGGATGACTGGGCACTCTCGGTGCTAACTAGGACTCCCGCCCTCCAAAAAATAGTTATTTATAAGAAACGGCATGGCCACCCTCTTCACGCTGACGTGGAAGACAAAGTCACGAAGCCAAAGCCTGTGTGAACGAAAGAACTATCCACATTCGCATTCCCACCCCCAAAGAAGAATCCGAGGTGGCTCATTGAGGTGGGGAGCCCCTTCTCCCTGTGAGAACGAGGACATTTTCCGACCTCGGAGGCCTGTGGCCCTGCGAGGCAAACACGTTTGGAGCCTCTCTGTGTGGCTTTGGTGCATGAGCGAGCGAGCATTCAGCTGCAGAGCCCATTCATGCCCTCCTCGCCCTGGATTTTGTCTCTGCGATTACCCTGGCTGGCATCCTCCGCGGTTGTCGGCAGACTGCAGAGGGTATCGTTTTTGATGCTCCGTGAGCTCCTAGTACTAGTGTAATTTTTGGCTGTGATTTGTTAGTATTTATTTTTTTGTTTTTCGAACCGACCAGTTTGGAAGTCGGAGCGGGTCACTAGGGTTCGGTTGGCGTCCGACGCATCTTGGTCCTGGAAAGGGGGTGAGTGGCTTGAATTCTGGGCGGCAGTGAGTCTGAGGTAGTTACTGCTGTTGTGGAGGGAGAGAGAGAGCGAGACAGCGAGAGTATACATTTTATTTTGGTTGCAGTGAAGTGGTGTAGAGAGGAGGAGGAGGAGTCCTTCGCGGAAAGGGTGGTTGCTGTTGTGTGAGAAGGGAATGAAGGTGTGGATGCAGCCGAGTCTGCAAAGAGGCGTGTGTAAAGTGTTATCCGACGGAGGTTGGTGCTAAGATCTTATGAGCGAGGTCACAGTGCAGGCAGCTCAGTTGAGCGGGCTTTGTGCTTTTCCTGAGCGGAGAGGATCAAGGGAGTAAGGTGTTGGGAAGCGGATTAGCAAGACTTGGTTGAGGAGTGTGCATTCCCGGACAGTGAGGTGGAGTTGAGGTATTTCCAGCAGCAAAAAATCTGGGCCGGGAAATTCAGAAGCGTTAAGAGACAAGCGCTGGAGGTTAGTGTTTCTATCGCCGCAAACGACAAAGGTGTGAAGAGCTACGAAGATTCAGGGGATCGATAATCAACAGAGATTGAAGCTTTTTTGGGGGAAAAAAAAATGTTTTGGCGAGTGCCTGGCTTATCGACCACTTCTCCGGTGAGTTCGTTCGTGTAATGTCTCCATTCCTGGTTGGAAACATTACGGGAATGCAGTTGCTTCAGACCATGAAACTCGTAGAAGTCAGGTTTGGTTCCCGTGCATGAGGAAAGGGTTTTTAGGGCTGTCAATTTCTCAGTCGTACCGTTATTGCCCTCTTTTCCATTGCTTACCGACTTAAGATTTTCCATCCTAATAAATTTCTCGAAAAGGTTAATATCCAAGATTGCCTTACTGACCTCACTTTTTTTTATTTTATTTTTTTAATCAAGTAGAAGCCGTTGCTTGTGATATACTTGTAATTTTTTTCTCTTAGCAACAATCGTATGGTTGTAATTTTATTTTAGCAGCAATACGGAGTAGTGTCGCTGGATGAGATGGGCCGTGCTTCTGAGGAATAAAATAATCTTCGTAATCTTAAGTGGCAATGCGCCTATTTTTAACGTCGGCTGATGAGCCGTCTTTATTTGTTACTTGTTGCAATCCTATCTCACACCATGTCAGGATGCTGTTTCATTATTGTCGCGCGTTTTTCGATTTTATTTGTGACGGATACTTCATTGAGCGCGGGTTCTGAAGTTACTCATTGAAGTAGCTTACCTAGTAACGGATACATGGTGGTCCGCAAGTCGTGCATGAATTATCAAGTATTATCTAAAATACGTTTTAAAGGGCACTTAGAGACAGTGTATTGGAATTTCAGTACTCTTATCAGATGAGAACACCAGTTTGAGGTTGACGACGGTTTTTTGGTTTTAAAAATAATATTTGATTATCATTCCAAGCTCAAAATACAATCAAGCTAGATACATGAGCGGCTTTGTTAAAGAATGAATTTGTGCTACTTAAATGATGCATGCCTACTGCTTGCATCGTCAGTTTCGAAGATTTCAAATCTAATGTCGGTAGATCGAACAAGAAGTGATTTGTGAAGGCTTTTGCTTATTTTTCACTTTTGCTATTAGAAATGCAATAGGGGCACTTGGTTTGTTCTTTGTCGTTGCGTGCATGTTTTTGCACAGTTGATTGTTGCTGTTAATGAATTGTGGCCGTGGTCACGTATACAGGTTGACTCGGTGCTGGATAAGGATGTCTACACTTTGGAAGAGCTCCTGGATGAAGATGAAATCATTCAAGAGTGCAAAGCTCTTAATAGCCGGCTAATCAACTTGTAGGGATCTTCGTTAGTGGTTCTGCTTCAGCTCATTCTTACCAGCTTTGTACAATGTATCTGTAGTAATTTAGTTGGGCTTTCTATCAGCTGTCTGTGTAAGTTATCGTACAGCAGCGTGGAAATTTGAAAGGAATTTCTAATTATTATTGAACTCATTGTCGAACTTTTCTGCATGATACTGGAGGGATTTTTATACGAGTTAATGGAATGTTCAGGAAACGTATTTTGTGATATTTGAAATGTGGTATTGGGTAGTTTGTAATGTGAGTTTCTCTGTTTCTGACGAGACTCATGTTTCCGAGACCTTATTTCCAATCATGTTATGGATTCTACTCTTTCACAGCTTGCGTGGGAAGGCTCAAGTGGAAGCGCTGCTTCGTTATGTGGTTGAGGAGCCACCAGAGGACGCCGATAGCAAGCGTTCATACAAGTTTGTTATTTCTCACTTCATAGTTGACCTCAATCATTTGTGCGACATCTAATATAGAACGTGGTGTCGGGTTAGTCCTTTGCCCGCACTTTGATTGATCATTGACCTAAACTTTTAGTCCTATACAGTCATTTATTGTGTGAGTTTTCGTGGTGGTTAAATCAATGAAGCCAAATCTCATCACCGTTTATGCAGGTTTCCATTTATTGCATGCGAAATTTTCACATGTGAAATAGATGTCATATTCAAGACTTTAGTTGAGGATGAGGAGGTACTCCCCAAATGTCTTGTTTTGAGCGTTGTTACTGTTTATAGTTAAGGGAACGCTTATTGCTCAAGTATGGCAATCTTACAGTTTGCGGCAGTTTTTTTGCGTTTGTTTAAGAAATTAAACGTTACGATGTTTGAGGCTGTACCTTCATCTGATAATCCAAATTCATGCAGCATTCATAATTTTACGAGAGGGAAGTTTAAAGGTTTGTTGAACGACTCTGTTATCTGGTATTTTGGTTTTCTCACACCATCTCTTTTGCAGATCTTGAATTTTCTCTTTTCTTTCTTGGAGGCCGATAGGCCACATGGGACGTTGCTGGCAGGTTACTTTAGTAAGGTAAATCGTCGTTCTTAGGCTCTATTCCATTACAAGTTATTTGTTTGTTTTCGTTCATGGTGAACAATTATACGTAAGTTTTGTGGGCTCTACAGAGATTTAGTCTTAAAATTGTCTCTAGATATTGAGAAAGTTTTGAAATTTGCAAGTTACAGTTTTTGTTGTCTTTCTGACTGTTGTAATGAATTGTAAGTAAATGTCATTGTACGCTTGTATGTGGAAGTTCAGATTATCTTTTTACATGTCGTACATGCCAAAGTCTCTGCTTAATTGTAGTGTTGCAATAAGTTTTGTATTTGTGTTGCATATTGTTGATGCAGGTTGTTATTTCCTTGTTGCTTAGAAAGACCGTTCCAGTGATGCGTTATTTGCAAGTAAGGCTGCTAGCTCCTTATTGCTCTCAATATTTTATTTGCTTCTTTTCTCTCTATATGGCGACAGGTGGAGCAGTTTTTTGGATGTGCATCATTCATAATGATAATTGCGTATAATGAATTAATATTTTTAGTTATTAATGTATCATTTTTGTCTGAATTGCTCAGACTCACCAAGAGATGTTGAAGAAGTTGGTTGATTTAATTGGTATTACTTCCGTTATGGAGGTAAGTTCCTTATATCTTTACTTGACAGTGGATTTCCTGATCGTTCTTGGACTCTGTTTTTCTGTTACAAACCTCCTGTTTCATAGCATTTTTACTACGCATTGTAAACTTTGTGAGTTTGTTTGCCTTTGTAGGTGCTGATTCGGCTTGTCGGCGCAGACGAACATATGTATGTCTTTCATGTAGATTCACTACAATGGTTGGCAGACACGGATCTATTGGAGATGCTTGTAGACAAGCTTAGTCCACCGGTAATATAATCCTGCAATTCATCGTATCTTGGTTCTGGGGTAGAAGCGTTTGATAGAGTTGTTTCGAGGTTTTTGGAATATCTGTGAGCCTGTTTAGGTGTTCTTATTCTCCTTCATTTTATGTTGATGGTGTGAAGTTTATTGTATGTTTGTCGTCTAAAGTATCTGTCTCACTGTCGTCTCTGGTAACCCTTCTTTCCTCCGTAACTGATAGTTGTTATGCGTTGTGATGTCAGAACTCTTCAGAAGTTCATGCAAATGCCGCAGAGACTTTGTCAGCTGTGACGCGTATTACTCCATCTGCACTTGCTTCAAAACTTTCTAGCCCAAAGTAAGTGTTTTGTACTTGATTCATCTGTTCTGTAGTAGTTAATCTAATACAGAATAATCACGGCTTCAAAGTTTTACGATATGAAATAGGTCATTCTTTGAAAATGTCTATTGATGCTTTTCTTAGACTGTCTCCAATCGGGACGATGCGGTAGCTCTCGCATCACATACTTTAAATACGTATTTACTTGCAGAATAGATGTTTAATGGGAACATAATAATTTACGTGCAATATAGAGGATGTTTTAAGATTCGAAGTTGGTTTGTTCTAGCTCAAGCGTATACACGAATTCACCTCATTTTCCTGACTTGTTTTGGCAGGTTTGTAGGGCGTCTCTTTCATCATGTATTGGAGGATCCGGAGTCCAAGTCTACTCTTTTGCATTCGCTTTCTGTTTGTATATCTCTCTTGGATCCAAAGCGAGCTGCTTCAATAGCGGCTGCAGGAGCCGCTCGCGGTCAGCACTTTATTGAACCTGTAATTACCGCAAACCCGGAGACCGTTGAAGGCATGCTTCAAAGATTAGGTGAGCTGACGCGACGTGCACCATAAGATGCATTATTGGCTGTGATAGCGGTCGGAGAACTCGAAGTTCTTTCATGTAGCTGGTCGACAGAGCAGAACGACTTATTCGTCTGATCGGTTTAGCTGTTAGATTCGACTTATAAGTTTCGTAGAAGTGGTGAGAGCCAGGATGCTGCGTTCAGATGGTTTCTTTCTCGTGACAGGTTGTTAGCAGAGATGAGTTACCATTAGCTGGACACTAACAGAGCTGACTTGCCACTATTTGAGGATTTCGCTTATTGCTGTTGGATCATACCTGAATTTCACTTAATGGCAGGCATTTATTTTCTCACAAAGCTGCGCCCTTCTTGTGTGCAGGGGACTTGCTAGCAGTATTGGACGTCTCGAAGGATGAGAAGATGTTACCTACGACTTATGGACGACTTCAGCCACCGTTGGGTGTTCACAGGCTAAAGGTTAGGCTTATGAACTTGTCATTGGTAATGAACCATGAGGTTTATGCTGTTTACTGGACAGCTTGTCTGTCAGTGATAGCTTGATGCATTCAGTAGTTCATTCATCATTGCTATAATTCTCTGATGTGGATTCCTGGGCAGATTGTGGAGTTCATCGCGGTTCTGTTGAGAGCCAACAGTGATGGTGCTAGACACGAGTTGGTCAACTCTGGAGCAATTCAACTTGTGTTGAAGCTTTTCTTTGAGTATGTTTTGGTGTCCAGACCCCTTCTACAGTGTATTATCTAAATTGCGTGTTGTGCACGTAAGCAGATGACTTACCATGTTAGCCAGTATGTGTTGTTTATTTTAATTTTTGTAGCTTGACCAGGAGTCGCTTGTGTGTTGGATTTTTTGCTGACGCAGTTATCCCTTCAATAATATGCTGCATCATCATGTGGAGAGTATTGTGACTTCGTGCTTGGAGAGCAATAATCAAAAACTGATCGATCACTTATTTCAAGACTGTAAATTTTTGGATAAATTACTCGCCGTTGATGAGAATCCGTATGCCCCAGACAGTCAAGCAGAAGTAAGAAATTAACTTGGCTGATTCTTTGAATGTGTTTTCTTAAACGAGTGGTTCTTTGTTTTAAATTCGCTTGTCCATTCAATGATACTCATTGCTTGTTCGATAATACAGGGGTGCCAACATTTGCCAGGGCACTTCCCATATGATGTGTGATTGGTTGTTGGATCATGATCATGGGTGTTCGATGTTCTTATTCCATAATTGGTTGTGTCCACAACCTATATTCGTGGCGTTAGTCCTTCAAAGACCACCTGATCTGAATGAAGTTTCAATTTGTATGTCTTTTGAGTTTTCTATTACTGTTTACCGGGTTGATTTATGTTTGTACTGTTTAATTGATCAGCAGTCAAAGCCGACTGTCAGTAAATCAAGCACAAGAATTGGGAACATGGGTCATCTTACTCGTCTCGCTAACAAGATCATTCAAGCCTCTTTGCTGAATCCTAAGATTCAGGGTCATCTACAGGTATTTAGCATTTGATTTTTAATGCCATTTTGATAAGCATATTTTTTGTCACTCAGTGCTAATTTCTGCTTTTACCTCGCAGGATAATTCAAAGTGGAGTGAGTGGGTGTCAAAAGTTTTGCAGCCACGAAACGTAATTGAAAACGTGTTTCACTGGTCTTGTGGGTATGTCTTATAATTTAGAATGAAAAATACTATTCCTCTGCACTATGTAACTTTTCTTGTTGTACATTTTACCATAATAGTATCAAGTCGTCAGCTTTTAGTGTATCTATCTTTTTGAAAGTAGGTACCGTAGTACCCTCAGTCTTCTGATGAAACCTTGTCTCAAACAATGAGGATAATTTACTCTTGATAATACTCATGTGGTGGTCTCATGTCTGTTCAGACGGCCTACTGCTGTTCAGGATCGTCCTGTGGACAGTGACGACGATGACTTCCGTGATAGGGATTACGACATACCAACCATGGCTACTAACATCAATCGCGAGGTTTATCGGTACGGCATGTTTGACAATGACGATGCTGAAGAGGTTTGTCCTGTATCCGAGATAGTTTTAGTCACGAATACCTATTATGTTTGGCGGTACATGTTGGTCGCCCTGTTTTTTGTTCGTGTTTGGAGCTTTTTGTGATCCCACGTGCTGAATTTCCAATTTAATCACTGCTTTCACCTTTTAACTTGTAATGCACAGGGTCATGGGGCCATGGAGAGAGATGAGGAGGTCTGTTTCCTTACTCTACTCCTGTTTTAGCTGTTTAGGTTTGGTACCGCCTTGATGTTATGAATGTTCATTGGATTTTTGTGTTGTCTACGTTTAGATTATGGGTATTCAAAATCGAGTGCACTTCAAGGCAACTGAAGTTTGTTGTTATGCGCAGGACATGTTTTTTGATGATGAGTCTGCTGAAGTTGTTATTTCATCTTTGCACCTTGGCGAAGATCAGGACAGGTGTTTGCAATCTTATTAACTTATTTTGTATGATGTCCCTTATTCTATTTTCTGGTTGTTGCTCTGTTTATCCTATAGTTGGTTATCATTATAGTATTTGGAAATCAGTAACGAATGGTTCACATGAGTTCTTGCCCTAATCAGAACTTGCCGGATATGATTTGTGCAGTGGTAGGGCAGACAGCATGTTCCGTCCAAATTCCAACTGGTTTGCTTTTCAAGATGATTTTACTAGGTCAACAGAAGAATCAATTCCAACATTTCTTGTTACGTCTTCTCCACCTTCTCGGAACGAAGGACTAACCGCAAATTTAGTCTCCCCTCCTAACAGCAGTGGGGACAGCAGCAGTGATGATGAAGTGGTTTTGGGAGAAGATGAAGATCTTGTAGACACTGCTAGTTCGGCAAAAATGACTTCGAAATTTGAGTCCGATCTTTTTAATGGAATAAAGCACGAAAGCAAAGATAGTCTAACATACCATTCTTTAAATGACTCAGAATTTAGTTCAAAGCTTGAAAAGGTAGATCTATCGGACGATCCATCATTGTCCCAGCGACGAGAAGAACCCAGTGCAGGTACTATGCTTCCATCACCCTTTTTTAGCTTATAGAAACTGGATTTGGGCTATCTTGCTGATGAGTCCCTGTACCTGTGACCTCTTTTGTCATGAATGTTGAAGTTTACGGAGTGATAATTTTGTGGTGCTCTGGCTTTCCGACTTTCCTGTTCATGATCATGAAATGGATGTTTTGGCTTTGTGAGGATAGTATGTGTGGCTAGTCCATCAGGCGGACTTGTGTTTGATGATAAGAACCCATTCAATGTTCATTTTTCAGAGCACGTGGAAACAGCTAGACATGGTCTTGATTCAACCGACGTTGATATGAAGCCCGAGTCACCTTTTTCCGAACTTGTATTTGCTGGTGCTGATTTGGTTCCGATGGGCCACTCGATCAATCCAATAACGGGTAAAACTTCAACATCCTCTGTATTCTTTCCAACCATGAAAGCCAGTATTTAATTTAATTTAATTAATTTTTTTTTTCAATTCTAGACTCTCAGAGTGAATGGAAGTGCCCCATTTATCAACGCATTGGGATTGGATGGACAGAATAGAGGTTTCAGTTAATATAGTCCTGGCATGATTCAATCGGATGGTGCTAACCTGTATTGTTTTTTCAGGTGCAGAAGTCGTCGGTGTTGATCCTGACGGCACAGTTGAAAGCATGGAAAAAATGCTGAAGGAGGGAGTTGTAGGTGAGGCTGGACCTTTGTTTAAGGGTAATCATGAGAGTAAACGAGAGTCTGATACAAAAGAATCTGCTGGCGGTGATTCTGATTTCAACGACTTGAATTATTGGCGCAGTGAATACATACCGTCCGATGTCGTGGAAAAGTTGTGAGGTCCAGTGATCCTGTTTTAGTCTGGTTTGTATATCTCTGATGGGTACTACTTACCCGCTTGATTGTTTTAGAGAGCTTCCCGTTGAGCCAGAGATCTTTAGCTCAATTTTCTGTCTAGTGTCTCATTACAGCTTCATATTAACATCGATTTGCCAGCATCTTGTTGGTTAATTGAGTAAATTCACATTGTAAGCGGATGTTCCAACAGTCCACCCACTTCTGCAAGCTTGTACTTATCTTAAAGACAGTCTATGAGTTAATTACTCCAAATTGCGTTGTCATTTCATTTGTTCGCTTTCCAGTTCTTAGGACCTAAAACCATGTTCTACACCTTCGCCCTCTTTGCCTATCTTTGCTCTCATCTGCGTTGCAGTCGGCAAGAATTGGGATTGCTGCGTAAGCTAGTGTCTGAGATCACGTTGGTGCACATGAAAACATCAGTGAATGTAATGCTGGAGACCGGGTTCGCAAGGAACATAACCGCAGCCCCGGAGAGCAGCTTGGGGTGGCCGGTGAACCTTCGATTTCAATCATCTACGTGTACAGTTTCAGAGATTGAAGACTTTCGCTTTGGCAACCAATGACGGCGTGGTCTTGATCGTTTCAAACAAAGAGGTAGACGTGGCTAATATAGACACGCACTGCAGAAATGGGATGTTTTTGAGTTTCTACAATGTTCAAATCATTGTGCATTCGGTTTAATCCATCAAAACGTGAGAGTTTGGTATTTGTGTGGTTTTGTTTAATGAGTGTGACTAATGATTTACCATTCACTACCTGGATTCTACAAGATATTACCACATAGAATCGGTTTTCCATCTAACCTTCTGGCGACATCTACCTGACGACATGCAATGAAGCACATGTTCTGCTTCTTATGCCCATATTTTGTATCATATTCAAACCCATTCATTTATTTATGTATTTATTGTTGAATGTTTATTTTATTTTTATTTTTATCTTTGCACATCTTACGGTGGCACATAATTTTTCAAGTCTTCCTTTCTATTTGAAATATTGTTTAAGAACAATTTAAACACTACATAACAAATCTATGGTGTAGTTTTATTTATTTTTTCTACAGAATAATACCATTATTTGTATGCATGCAATTCATGATGATATTACTGTATAATTATATCAACACTTGAGGCTCTATATTTGATGATTCTAACCCAATAAGAATAAAAAATAAATGTTTGTTTTGATTGTCGGCGTTCTCGGAGCATCAAACCTCAAGCATCTCAGATTGCCATCTGCTCGCAGATGAAGGTTCAATCGAAAGAAGGCGGAGTTAAGGAAAAGTTGAGCGTGAGTTTGCAAGGGTGTGGAGAATTTGCAGAGGAGAATCCCATGGATATTTGTCTCAACAAATAGCATCGCGGTAGACATCTGTAATTGTGCTCTTCAACCTTCATCTGCACCTCACTCACCCTGCGTGCTTTCTCTAATTCACAATATTCATTTCTGATGAGTACGCAAACAAACATTTGTCTGCTACTTTGGTGCGCAATGGGCTAGACTTCCTTAAAAAACACTCTACTGCGATCCATTCTACCCTGAGTTGCAAACCATGTCAGTGAAAGCTTATCACAGCGTAACAATGCAAGAGGGCAAGACGCCCACGCTCCTTGACACACAGACACACATTCACATTACGCCATTCTTCAGTGTGACGAGAACAACCCCTACTTACAATACAGCGCTCTGGCTTTTGGTTCTGAGATTCCATGCAAAGATGCGTGTAATCTTTGCGTAGAGCTGTTAGAACCATGGCTAGACCGACAACCCGGCGCCGGCGTTACTCGGAGATGCAGAGCTTAGGATGGGTCTCGAGCGGGTGAATCTATCTCGATGTGGGTGCGACGTGATTTGTAGCCACGACAAGGTCAACCCCACAACGGCGAAGCTTGAGGAGTTACAGGATCCCTGCGCCGAGGTAACACTGGATGAAGGGTTCGAGAATGGCGTGAGCTTGTTGCCCTGTCTGAGCCGGGATGGTTTTGGGAGTGCTACGTGATTTTTCGTCACTGGTGTGCCACATTTGCACATGAAATCCATCTCTGTGTTGGCTCGCATAGACCATTTCCTAGAACCGAATTGTCGTTAGAAGTAGCCATCTAGGAAGCGCACAACATAGAGGAGCTGTGGGTGGAGGGGAGAGAAGGCGTGGAGAGCCGGCTGTGCCGAGGAGTGTGCATCAGATTGTGGCGCAGTTGCATAGAGTGTCGGGATGGGCATTTCAGTTTCAGAGTGCGTCTTTTAGAAAATCAATCGATCGGCTGCGGAAGTCGGCTCTCCTCCGACGATGGCCCTCTCTTTTCGGCAGAAACAGCTTGGTAATGCTACTTATTGAATGCCCAAAGATGAGTGGTATCTGGCCAATGAAATTGTGTTCGGATTTAATGATAATGTTCTCTCTCGATGTGTGAGTTCACTTGGATGATTCTCTGAATGCTATATTGGTCGTATGTTTAATTTGGTTAGCTGCATGTTCTCGTGAAGTTCCATGGAAAAGAAATTTAGAGTTGAAGATTTGAGTCTGTGTTACAGGGCGTAAATCTTAAAGATGTATGGATGGATACTGCTAGGGAGACTCATGTTGGATTTCTGTGGCAACATCAGAAATACTAGAACAGTTTTTGGTGGTTTTAGGGTATATTGCATAATTTGAATTCTTACTGAATGCAAGTCTATGAAATGTGATGCATGACTATCATTCTGTGCAAGTATGTGAGGTTCATATCACGTGCTTGCGTTAGTATCACAGTGACAGTCAACTGGGCATAATTTTGAGCTCCTCGGGATAAAACTATGGTTTCGGAATGACAGATCGATGATCACGTAGGAATTAGTCTTTTGATTCATAGAATAAGCTTTTTTCCTGATGGGATTTCCACTTCCTCTTTGTTTCCCGGCTTCTCGGAGAACTGTTCAAGGGATAAATGGTTGTCTGGCGCAAGAGCTCAAGCCCCATATATTCTGTTGAGGTTGTAAGCCCCACAAATTGACAATTGCGGATTCGTCCCGGTAAGGTTATATTTGGGGGTTTGATCTTGCGGGACAAGGCCACCTCTGCTCTAGCAGGCTTGATAGGGGCTATAGGCCAGGGATTTCATGGTATAAGATCGATTAACTCGGTGTGGTGGGCAACTTGAGTGATGCATGCAACTCTGAATTGTTTTATTTTTATAAATTTTGTCTTACAAATGATCATTTGTAACTGGATGCAAGGGCTGAAGTTGAGTCCCGTCACCGTGTTTGCAGATGCGGTGGTGCGGATGTTGAACCTTAATTACCCAATCTTAAGTGGGGGCACAGCAGACGAAGAGGTTTACAAGGTTCTGATTTATGACCATTTCTGTCGCGACATTCTATCCCCACTAATTCGCGTCAACGCCCTGAGAAAACATGGCATCACTCTGTACTTGGGGCTAGCCAAGGAGCGGCAAAATGTTCCTGACATGCCAGCTATTTACTTTGTTCAACCACTGCAGGCAAATATTCAAAGAATAATGCTTGATGCATCTCGAGGGATGTACGAAGCCTTCCACCTCAATTTTTCGTCATCCCTTTCCTGGTCGCTCTTGGAGGAGCTTGCTAAGGATACGCTCAAAACAGATTGTTTCCAGAGGATCGCTAAGGTTTATGACCAGTATCTTGAGTTTGTGACGCTTGAAAATGGAATGTTCTGTCTTGCTCAGCCTCTTTCATATGTGCATCTTAACGATCCTGCTGCCCAAGAACAAGACGTGCAAGCCGTGATTGAAGGCATTACTAATGGACTGTTCTCTGTCCTTGCAACTTTGGGGGTTGTTCCTGTAATTCGATGTGCAAGGTAGATGATTTTTTTTACCTGTAAGAAATTTCTCCCGCATCTCTGCTTCTAAAGAGTCGATCGATTGGAACATGCATCTCATTTCTATGGATTGTTATTTGTGCTTTGATGCCTGAGTTTTGTGTAGTGTACAGGTTGAATGATGTAGAATTGCTGAAACTTGTGATTACTAGACGTTGGTGAAAACGATGCTTGGTACTGACTGGAATGGAATCTTTAGGAGAAAATGTGAGATGATTGAGGGAATTGGGCACTTGAACCTCATCAATGTAGGACACAACATACAAAGGGTAGAACGTGGCACTTCTATTAAGATCTCCTCATAAGCAGGAACAGCTAGTGTGGTTTCGAACTATAACGCGGCTAGTTATTGTTATAATGGATTTTGGTACACTAAGGTGCTGGTTACATTTTCATAACATATGTTACTTTAGCTGACAGGGGTGGACCCGCAGAGATGGTAGCTGGTATTCTTGATGGACGTATACGAGACCATCTTGTTTCTCGAAATAACCTCTTCACAGAGGCTGGGCATATGGGCTTTTCTTTCCAACGACCTGTCCTCTGTTTATTCGATCATAATTTTGAATTATCAGTGGCTGTACGGCACTCCTGGAGCTATCGTCCACTTGTGCATGATGTCTTAAATATGAAACTGAATCGCGTTCAAGTTGAAGGGGCCGGTTTAGGCTCGAAGGGAAAGAGCGGTGTAAATACTTATGAACTTGATGATATCGACTCGTATTGGGTTGCAAATGCAAACGCTCTGTACCCCAAAGCAGCTTAGGAAGTTGATAATCTATGAAAAGGTCAGTTTTTGACCAACTAATGAACGCATGATGCTCATCGTGTTTGGGGAATGTATCGTGTTTGGTAATCTCGCCAGGATTAATATAAACTTTTTGTTAGTTCCGTCAGATCCTTGGCTGTGAAGGAAAACATGTGATTATGGATGTACTCCACGATGATTCTTGAAATGTTTAGGTGGAGGCAAGATATCCAGGAGGTAAAAAAGGAACCACGGAGCAGTGCTGATGTTATTGATGATGCTGAATTGTTGGGTAGTGCGAAGCAGTTCGCGAATGCAGTGAACTCATTGCCAGAGCTTACTGAAAGGAAGCGGATAGTTGACAAGCACACACTTATTGCCACTGCTCTTTTAAAGGAAATTATGAATCGTTCTCTAGAAAGCTTCTCGTCAATCGAAGAGGAGATGCTCTCAAAAGGCAGTGTTGATAAAGGCTTTATGGCACATCTTCAAGGTAAAGGCACTAAAGAAGATAAGTTGCGGCTAGCTGTTGTACATCTGCTTGCAGTAGAAACCTCTTCTCCAGCAGAGGTTGGAGCTGTTGAAGCAACCCTTAGAGAATGTGAGGTGGATCCCTCAGCATTCCTTTATGTCAAGAGAATCAAGTCCCCAAGCGCCTCGTTGTCTTCTGCTCAAGCCGCAAACAGAAGTAATCTTGGTGTATGGGGAGGTCAGTTTTATGAACAGGCATTGAGTTCAATTACTGCAGGTGTCAAGAACTTGCTCTCAGGGGGTAGGCAAGCAGCCCTTATTCGCGTCGTGGAAGCTCTGATGGAGGCTAAATCATCTCCTGGAACTGATTCCTACCTTATATTTGATCCGCGAGCTCCAAAAGGATCGGCTGGTGCTGATAGTGTTTCCCAGGGACCATTCAAAGAGGCAATACTTTTTATAATAGGGGGAGGAAATTACCTCGAGTATGGAAGTTTGCAATTCTCCCAGCAATAGCAACCGACGAAGAACATTATCTATGAAAGTACCGAGATACTGTCAGGAAATGATTTCATTGAACAGCTTGCTACGTTGGATAGAAAGATGGGGGTTGTAGGATCTACAGTTGCCTCATCTTCCTAGAATGTGAAGATTTTTTGTCATTAATTCACCCCTTCATTTTTGTTTTTATCCCTTTTCGCTGATTGGGGTATGCTTGTAGTTAGAATTAGGTCGTTAGTTCACTGCAACGGTAACAATACTTTGTAAGTCCATAATGGAAGGTAGTTTTACATTTTTTGTTTATTTATTAAATTAGAAGTTTAGGAGATAATGTAATCACTTAGGGTACATAATGAGAACTCTGCGAAATTCGTAGCAGCTTTACTGTATGTGACAGCGGGTTGCCTTGTTTTAATAACTTGCTTTCTCAGTTCTCTTCACTTCTTTTTACTCAATTGTTCTTGTTCTGGTTAATGCAGAGCCTCTTTACCTGCTTGTGAAATCATGGTTGTAATTTTCAATAATATTATAGCATGTTACTGCATAAGCAACGCAGTTATGCTTTTTGTTCATACCGAGGAGTTGGAACAGAAGCTGGCTTCAGATTCAAGTTTGTGGTTGACCCTTCAGAGTTGATGTTGCAATTGCAGATATTTATAGATCATCAAAATTCAACCATTTGTCTGTAAGTAAAGTTTAGATACACACTCCGCTATGTGTTTTTGAAACGCCAGCTCAATTTACCGCTGATTCTTCCTTATTCTTTTGAAAATGCCAGTAACCTTGAGATACGGGTAAGTTCATTGTCATTTTCTAGGTTTTCAGTATCTTTGTTATCCACACCCCTTCTGAAATCAGTGAACACTTTGAGGAGTATCAACTAGTAAAAGTACGAAATCATGGAAAGCTGGAAAATACTTACTACAATAAAGAGGAACTCAACATCAATAGACTAAGACAGATATACAATTGCACGTACTCAATGCAGAAAATAAGATGGTTTCTGATCAAAGCTTATGAAGAGCTTGATATGTTAGAAGACTCAATCAAGATATTATGATTTGTATATAATAAAAAATTACTTTTTTTAGAAATAGTTAATTCCTGCCATAGCTAAACCTTTAACAGCACCAGCACTAGTCATTCTCGTATGTTTCATTAATTAAAAAATAATTTGCATCCTAGACGTCATTGTTGACCATGTTGATACCTAGAACATAATTTGCCTTTAACTGAACTTCACTGAGCGCCAACTATTCTGTTCTGAGCACTATTGCTAAGGAGCAGGCTCTTTGGTTGCTAATAAGTTGGAGCATTTCCCGTGGCAAAGCTCGTACAGAGGATATCTTTCGGAGATGGTGCAGAATCTGCATTCACGAAGTGTGATCAATATCAGTTGACTGCAGACCAGCTATTGCAGTTTCAATCCTCTGTCGTATGTTTGCACAGGTTAAATGATTTGGCCATGACGGCACTGTTCTGTACTATATCATGATGTTGCATTGATACTAAGCATGGTTTCAATTTGGGGTTTTTCAAGGTTCGCAGTCTTTACGCTTGTTCTTTGTGGCACTGATGGTCGTGGCACCCTCGTCGTTGGCTCTGGCACGCGTGAAAGGCTTTTACCTTTCGAGGTTTGTTATCAGGGTTTAACACTATCGGCAGAGCTCTTCAATTGCAGGTGCGTTTGCCGCCGCCTACGGATGTTGATTTGCCGAAGAACAATAGCTTTAACTTCCGGAACTGGTGGTGTCTTGAGGCCCTTGAGCGCGAACGTGACCTAGACCTGGATCATCTGGGCGTGGACGGCGCAGAATGTGCTTTACATCTTTTGCATGATGGCAACCTTGCGCGGCGTTGTAACGTTGCCGGTGACGCTCCTGCACTTCGGCTCCGTCTGACTCCGCACCATGAGAATCCCCATCTCTTCCTTGTCATTTCAGCTCTTGTTCCTACTCAGTGCGCCTAATGGCCCACTCGTATTCTTATCTTAGCATGGAAATATGGTTAACATTTTCACTGCTTTGGATTCTTCTCGATCTGCTGGGCTCTGCCACCGTCAACCCAAGCTCATATTCATCATGGACCATTCCAATGCGATGTTCTAATCACCAACAGTGCCGCACCAAGGTCGAATACTATCCGATTTGAATATCTGTAGATGGTATGAGATAGGAGAAGCTATTCCTTTCTACAATTCAGCGAGCGTCCAGATTCTTGAGCTCTCAGGACTGTAGTTGACCCGGTGTGTCCCTTCGTGTATGAACCTGCAAATGCGGTGTGGTCGAGACGATAACGAGGCGAAGCGTTCTTGGGAGGCTGCTGCAACGACTAGACGGTTCCAATCTCACGGGGATTCAGCGTCTTGACTGGCCTTGTTGGCTTGAGAGAGAGAGAGAGAGAGAGAGAGAGAGCGATAGAGGTGTGGAACTCGCAGGCATCGTGCGAAATGGTGCATGAAATTGTATGGAGTATGTGTGTGTGTCTAAACCTGGTAAACAGAGGGGTTTGCAGAATTGATCTTGCAAAGTTGGGTTCCACAGAAGGCGTCTCCTGGTGCCTACGAAGCCTCCTCTTCCGCATCATTTGAACAGTTGCAATTCTAAGCTTTGTCCGTCTTTACACCGCACTCTTCACAACCAACTCCGACAAGGAAATGCACCACCCAAAATGTTCACACGGTGTCACACGTAAGGTGTGCATGACCTATAATCAAAGAGTATAACCTCCTGCAAAAAACAGGAAGTGAATTCTTCATGTGACCAAAATTGCAATGTCAGTGTTTTTGCCTTCTCAATCAGAGATCGGAGTTGAATACTCCAACTAACCTCTGCTCAGTTAACTAACTGAAAAAAAAACTCAACATGAACATTCACCATTTTAAAATTACATTACAACATTCACCAGTTTTACATGTGTAGGTATTCTAGTGGCTGCTAATAAATTTTCGAGAAATGCTGATTGATTGTCGGTCTGCGTGTTTTATTTTTTTTGGGTTCTGTTTCAAAAAGTATTAGACCTAAACAGCCGCTAACAGCCGCCAACTCCCGCGTGCAGTGTGTCTCTTCCTTGCGCGCGCTTTGAGTGACCCAGCCTCGTCGTGGGCGTCGAATGGGCAATGCTGTGTGTTTCTAGGGTACGCAGAGACTGCACTGGTGCATCGGCACTGGGTCCATCAGTTTCGCACCTCGCAGATTTTCCTGCGGTGTAGGCTGAGGATCAGTTGCGCTACATCCAGGTCCATTGCTCAATAGACACTCGCATTGGTAGGGTTTTATCATTGAGCTGGTTTGGGGTTTTAGCACCGTGAGTTTTCTTTTCTCCTTGTTGCGAATATTTGCAGCTCCGAGATTACGAAGAAGAAGGAGAAGAAGAGAAGGAGGAGGAGGAAGACGAGGACTAAGGAAGTTCAGTAGGGGTTTATTGGAAGAGCTGAACGATGTTTTTGTATAGTTTGACTTTGCAGCCGGCAACGGGAATAGTTTGTGCTACGTATGGAAACTTCACGGGCGGCAAGACGCAAGAAATTGTGGTAGCCAGGGGCAAGGTGCTGGACTTGCTGCGACCCGACGATAATGGGAAGCTTCAGACGCTGCTTTCGGTGGAAGTATTTGGAGCAATTCGGTCTTTGGCACAATTTCGCCTCACGGGGTCGCAGAAGGATTATATTGTTGTAGGCTCGGACTCTGGCCGGATAGTGATCCTCGAGTATAACAAGGAGAAGAACCTGTTTGAAAAGGTTCATCAGGAGACATTTGGGAAGTCAGGGTGTCGGAGGATTGTACCTGGGCAATATTTAGCGGTAGATCCGAAGGGGCGTGCTGTTATGATCGGTGCTTGCGAGAAGCAGAAGCTGGTTTATGTGCTCAATCGTGACAATGCTGCACGACTAACGATCTCCTCTCCCTTGGAGGCTCATAAATCGCATACCATAGTTTATTCTATCACGGGTGTAGATTGTGGTTTTGATAACCCTATTTTCGCAGCTATTGAGCTGGATTATTCTGAGGCGGATCAGGACTCCACAGGGCAGGCTGCAAATGAAGCCCAAAAGCATTTGACGTTTTATGAGCTCGATTTAGGGCTTAACCATGTCGTTCGGAAATGGACCGAACCCATTGATAACGGAGCTAACATGTTGGTCACAGTGCCTGGTGGGGGGGATGGACCTAGCGGGGTGCTCGTTTGTGCGGAAAATTTTGTTATCTACAAGAATCAAAACCAGCCTGATGTCCGTGCCGTTATTCCACGAAGGCAAGACCTGCCCCCGAACAGAGGAGTATTGATTGTGTCCGCCGCTACGCATAAGCAGAAAGCTCTGTTCTTCTTTTTATTGCAAACCGAATACGGTGACATATTTAAAGTCACCTTGGATTACGATAAGGATGATCAAGTGACAGAGCTGAAAATTAAGTACTTCGATACCATCCCTGTGACATCTGCAATGTGCGTGCTGAAAGCGGGTTTTCTTTTTGCCGCTTCGGAGTTTGGAAATCATTCTTTGTATCAGTTCCAAAGTATAGGTGAAGATCCAGAGGTGGAGTCATCATCGTCCACTCTTGTGGAAACTGAAGAGGGTTACCAGCCTGTTTTCTTCCAGCCCAGGAAACTTAAGAATTTGGTTCAAATTGATGACATTGAGAGTTTGATGCCCATAATGGACATGAAAGTTGCAAATCTTTTTGAAGAGGAAACTCCACAAATTTTCTCCCTATGTGGAAGGGGTCCGAGGTCTTCCCTTCGCATCCTGCGTCCTGGTCTCGCAGTCACAGAAATGGCTGTATCTCCGCTTCCTGGAGTGCCAAGTGCAGTATGGACCGTCAAAAAGCACGCAAATGATGAGTTCGATGCTTACATCGTGGTGTCATTTGTGAACGCTACACTGGTGCTCTCTATTGGAGAGACCGTAGAGGAAGTAAGTGACAGTGGTTTTTTAGACACGACTCCTTCTCTAGCAATTTCTCTTCTGGGTGACGATTCTCTCATGCAGGTACATCCAAGTGGTATTCGTCATATCAGGGCCGATGGGCGTATCAACGAGTGGAAGACACCCGGAAAGAAGACCATTGTGAAAGTCGGATACAATCGAATGCAGGTGGTCATTGCCCTTAGTGGGGGAGAGCTTATATACTTTGAGATGGACATGTCGGGCCAACTGATGGAAATTGAGAAGCGGGACATGACAGGAGATGTTGCTTGTCTTGACATTGCACCAGTGCCTGAAGGCCGTCAAAGATCACGGTTCTTAGCTGTGGGTTCGTATGACAGCACAATTCGAATCCTCTCGTTGGACCCAGATGATTGTATGCAGATTTTGAGTGTGCAAGCAGTCTCATCTCCACCGGAGTCGCTCCTTCTCCTTGAGGTGCAGGCTTCGACTGGAGGTGAAGATGGCGCAGATCATCCAGCGAGCGTCTTTCTCAATGCTGGATTACAGAATGGAGTATTGCTCAGGACTGAGGTAGATATGGTAACTGGACAGTTATCAGATACACGAACCCGATTCTTAGGCCTGCGAGCCCCCAAGCTCTTCTCGGCTTTAGTTAGGGGTCGACGGGCGATGTTATGTCTTTCCAGCAGGCCTTGGCTTGGTTACATTCATCAAGGACATTTCCTATTGACGCCCTTGTCGTATGAAACCTTGGAATATGCTGCATCGTTCTCGTCAGATCAATGCGCAGAAGGTGTCGTGGCAGTCGCGGGAGATGCGCTTCGTGTATTTACTATCGAGAGACTTGGCGAGACATTTAATCAAACTGTTGTGCCTCTCCGGTACACCCCTCGCAAGTTCATCTTACATCCTAAACAGAATTCTCTCATCATTCTCGAGAGTGATCAAGGTGCTTTTAATACAGAGGATCGGGAGGCGAATAAAAAGGAAGCTGTGGAGGCTGCAGGTTAGTGGTGCATATTTCTTTGCATCTCCATTCAAGGTTCAATGAAGTGATAGCTGCCAAGAGGTGTCTATTAGTCAGTCTCCTTTTTTGCTAATGAATTGCTGTATTTTTTCTTGTGCATGCAAGGCGATTAGGTTGGGAACTTCCGTCGGGTCTTGTCTTGCATTTACCTTGCTGCCGTATTTTGAGTGCTTTCAGTATATAATTTGCCGTTTTTATTTATACTTGTAACAATGTTTTCGTTCCTTGCACCTAAGTTATTCAGTTCAACACATGTGAATCATTTTAGTTAGTCAATAAGCTATCCTACGTAAGGATACATGTCATATTTTGAAGGAACATTAGAGTAAATCACTGTTTCTGTAACGGATTGCTTTCTTTCTTTTTACAGATAGTCACGAAAATGGGAAAGCAGATGGAGAAGACGAAGATATGGCTGACGGAGAGGACGAGGAACCTCTTCCTGATGAGCAATATGGATATCCAAAAGCAGAGTCGAACAAGTGGGCGTCATGCATTCGAGTATTGGATCCAAAGACGAGCACAACCACCTGTCTCCTGGAATTGCAAGAAAACGAAGCAGCCTTCAGCCTTTGCGCTGTTAATTTCCATGACAACAAGGAATTGGGGACGCTTATAGCTGTTGGAACTGCTAAGGATTTGCAGTTTATGCCAAAGAAAGAAGCATCTGGTGGATTTATTCACATATACAGGTTTGCGGATGAAGGAAAGGTTCTTGAACTTGTGCATAAGACTCCTGTTGATGGGGTCCCTACAGCTTTGTGTCAGTTCCAAGGTCGACTTCTGGTTGGAGTAGGTCAGGTGTTGAGAATATATGATCTTGGGAAAAGAAAACTGCTGCGTAAGTGTGAGAATAAAAATTTCCCGAACACAATTATTGCTATCCATACCTATGGCGATAGGATATACGTTGGTGATATTCAAGAGGTACATGTCCTTTCTTTTGAATTTTATCTTTTTTATCTTTAAGACAATCTTGTCGAGTGTGGAACCCTTTCTTTTAGGAGTTCATCTGTCCTACTCATTCAACTATGGATGTATGTTTTATTAGGAGTTGGAGTTCTTGGTGTTATCATGTGAGGGAAAAGAGGTTGCTAGTTGTTTTAATCCGTGCTTTTCGTAGTGCAGTCATTTCATTATGTGAAGTACCGACGGGATGAGAACCAGTTGTATACATTTGCGGACGATAGCTGCCCGAGGTGGTTAACTGCGTCACTTCACATTGATTTTGACACTATGGCTGGAGCGGACAAGTTTGGTAATATTTATGTCATGCGCTTACCCCAAGATGTTTCAGAGGAGATAGAAGATGACCCTACTGGAGGTAAAATTAAATGGGAACAAGGCCGATTGAACGGTGCACCAAACAAGGTCGAAGAGATAATTCAGTTTCATGTTGGAGAGGTGGTTACAAGCTTGCAGAAAGCATCCCTCATTCCAGGAGGAGGAGAGAGCGTTCTTTATGGCACTATCATGGGAAGCATGGGGGCTCTTCTGCCTTTTTCATCCCGTGAAGACGTAGACTTTTTCTCCCACCTTGAGATGCATCTGCGACAAGAGAACCCACCTTTGTGTGGCCGTGATCATATGGGATTCCGATCTGCGTATTTCCCTGTGAAGGTTTGTTGCTCCTTGTTTCCCCTATTCCTGTTTTTTGAGGACAAAGTAGTCCTTTAATCTTTTCACGAAATCTCTGTATGCAACTGTAGTATAAGATGAATAAAATGGGCAGTAATGATCAAAAGTAAGGATTGTGTGACCGTGGGCTTACTTAAGAAATGATTTTTGCGGGATGTTGCAGGATGTAATCGATGGAGATCTCTGTGAGCAGTATCCAATGCTAACTTCAGAGCTGCAAAAGAAAATTGCCGATGACCTTGATCGAACCCCAGGTGAAATTTTGAAGAAGCTCGAGGACATTAAGAATCGAATCATTTAATTCCAAAATCGATGAGATTGTTGATAGAGTCCGACCTGTACCCCAGCACTTAACCTCCCACTCTTTCATAGTAGCCAGGTTGAACCTGTAGAGATACGTACGTCAGAGTGACCAAGCACGATGAAGAAGCACTAAGAGCTTTCCTTCCCAGGTATACGGGGTGATTTCTCGGCATTTTTGTGGCACTTGGGACTCATCTCCACCACATCTGAAATATGTGCACGCACTTAAAAATTGGAAGGTAGCTTTAGCCGCATCATCGTTGTTGCTTTTCTGAAATACCTTTCAACCGCATGCAATGTTGAGTATGGCAGACCTTCCAGCAAGCGAGAGAGGAATCCTGGATACTTGACTCAGTAAACCTCAGAAGGTGAACGCAAGCAATACAGCGCCCGTTGCGCTTGCATTTTCCTGTATCTCCATGTGATTATTGGAAGTCAATGGAGACCTGTATTACTAATCATTTGCTTTTCTCTTTCTCAATTGTGGACACATCGTGTGAATTCTATGTGAACATGTTTAATGCAGCAAATGAAGCTAGTTTACTGTGAGTCTACGTAGTAATGTTGAGTATACTGATACATTTTTTATGTGTTTTCTTGGAAGATGTCTGCTTTTGATGATTGATGTCATGGCCCGCGTTCTCAATTTTCTGCATCCTCAGTATTGGATTTGTGAACCTGATTCTTATGGGCAAGAACATCACTGGCCTCCAAGATCGAGGAAATGTTTCGCACAATTTCTAATTCTATTTCACCCTACATTACGCTGTTCGAGTATAGATAAGGTGTCTCTGCAGCGGTGAGGAGGACTGCACGAGACAAGGAGGTGGTGCGGCATCAAAGCGAACTGTGTGGGTCGGTAAGCTGCCGGATAGACTTGCACCCCAGTAAACTTTGACGACTCTCATTCGGGCTGAGAAGATTCGTCACGAAGGGTGGCAAAAATGCATGCTGTCATGCACATTTGTTGGTCCTCAACTCTCAAAAGATGGGGTTGGGATTTGCATGACTCTTCAAGAGTATGTAAGTAAACTAATAAGACCTGACATAAAATCTTTACTTTGCCGAAAGATTGACAAAACATTCTATTTTGAATATATCAAATACCCCACTATTTTCAACCTTATGGCGACACCCATGTGGAGATGCACAAGCACAAATGATTGTTGTTTATAATTCCAATGCCATGCAAGCTTCCCAACAATCCATAATACCTTATACAAGTGATTCAAAACTCAATGAAAGGTGTTGGCATTGCTATGTAATAGACGATATTTTATTATCTATGCAGCTAGTAGCTGAAGCTTTCTTTGGTGGTAATTTCTTTAAATGACCTATTATTTGGAGCATGGTCAGACATCAGACATCTAAAGATGCTCAATTGGATTTAGATTAGGAGACTACATTTGCCACTTAAGAACATTAACCTTTTTGATCTCAACCATTGGAGGACACTTTTTATTGCATGTTTGGAATCATTATCATGCTGAAAAATCAAATGGGAAGGATAAAGATTACAAACCATTACAATTTATAATAAATCTCTTTGAAATATTTTCCTATATTGATGTTGAATCATTCTTCCTTCAACTATAAAAATGGTGCCAAGGCCTTAGAACATTGTCATATAACATGAATTTTTGCTTGAGAATGCACCAAGCACCTAGCTATGGAAGGTAAATGGAAAATAAAACAACAAGATCATACCAAGTTTAATAGAATTTCAAATAAACTCTAAGTAATTCTTAACAACCTTAATCAAACTTTAACCAATTCAAAAGAAATTTAAAAGAAATTACAAAAGAAACATAAAATAATAATAAATTAACCTCAAAGAAAAATAATAAAAAAAATCTTGAAAAAATACAAAACTAAAAATCTTAAAGAAATAAAAATAATCTTTTTAAAATACTAAAAATAAAAAATAAAAAATAACAAATAATCCTTTAAAAATACTAAAAATAAAATCCATAAATAAATCCTAAGTAAACCATAGATAAATTCTAACCAAATCTTAATGTAGTTCTAAATAATACCTTTTTAAAATCTAAAAATCCTAAAAAAATCTTAATCAAATTATAATAAAATCCTAACCAAATTTAAGACCAAATCTTAATCAAATCTTAAACAAATTCTAAAACCTAATCAAATCCTAGACCAAATCCTAAATAAATTCTAAAATCTAATCAAATACTAAATCAAATCTTAATCAAATTTCAAACAAATCTTAAACCATAATCAAATCTTAATCAAATTCTAAATAATTCCAAAAAAAATCTAAGTAAATCCTAAGAAAGTCCTTAAAATCTTAATACACCTTCAAATTACATGAAATTAACTCTCAAAAAATCCTCTCATAAGTCTTCTTCCAAATCCCACTATCTTATCAACCAAAGAATTCTAGAATCATTATAGGGATGCAGTTTTATACCTTAGGGTTTGATTTTGACCTTGATTTATAATTGGTCCTCTCCTGGTATCAATTTTTTATATTTTGAGGTAAATTTTAATAAAATAAATCTATTATCAATTTCCTCCTAAAAATACTTATATCAATTATTTATCTCATTTACTTTGATTTGGTTCACTTATGTCTCTACAAAGTAAGTAGAAGTTTCTTTTTCAAGAAGACAACATTAGCATTTATTAACTTTTATTACCTCCTTCTCTATTATCTATATTTCTAAGATAATTTGCTAAAGTATTTTTATTTAAACTCCTCTATAATGTAATCTTTTCTTCTTCTTTTCACCATATAATTGTATTATTATATGACAATGTCACTCAATGCTATACCATCATTGAACAATCACCAAACTTTATTATCTATTGAAACTGTCTTGAATTGTAAGATTGTATATTATAAATCCAACACCAATTGCAACGATCTAAGCAAAATTAGTTTATATTTGTCTTATTAGAAAAGATAATACACTTCTAGTCACAAATAGTCCAATGTTTATAGTATCTACAAAATTCAAGCCACTTTCTAATATATTTCTCATTCAATTTTATCTTCTTTTGCTTTATTTATAATAAAGCATGAAGCCCTTTTCATTGTATCAACACTTATAATAGCTATGCATCAATATCTCATAATGTAACAACTTTGACACATACTCTCTTATATGCATATGTGAGTACTTATAGTCTATTACTACTACAAGCTCAAAGATTGGACAATCTCTTCTTTTTAATTTATGTGACATAACTATGAGTTACCTGCAATTCATTTGCTACATTGCTTGTAAAACTACCAACTTGCAACTTCAAAACAATAGAGTTATTATGGTCTATTCTAGCACTAGCAAAAAGCTCATTTAAGTACACTATAATTATTGAATAAGATCCTCAAAGAACATGTAGAGAGCTTTGAACTAAAATATAGTCCAAATATACATGAGAATTTGAGTTTTGCAATGTTGAATTCCTCTACTTCAACCTCATTGTCTTTGATGTAGAGAAGCATGCACAACTAAGTCATGACATGTGTTAGAATTGAAATATCAATTTCTAATCATAATTTGTTTATTTGTCACTATTGATTGATTATTAGGTAGCAAACTTGGAATAATATTCTCAAACAATGGAAATATAAAAAATCATTTATCAAGTTTTTAACATGGAGGCTCAAATTTCCATTTTTTAATAGTTGATTTAGTTTTGTCACACAATGTACATCTAAACTCTAGTTTCCTTATATTTCTATTTAAGAATATATCTATGTAATACATTTTAGCTTTCAAAAAAGCTTTAATTACCAAACTTAAATTCAATATACTTTTATTTCAAAGACAATAAAAAAAATAGAATAGATAACTTGACAATGTTTATAGTAATCTAAATACAATAATTATTAATTATAATTTAATATTTCGTTTAAAATATCTATTATATTAAAAATCTATTATTACTATTTTTAAATATTGTAAGATCTATGTAGTGTTATTGTAAGGCATTTAATTTTGTTTTTGAAATTCCATAATGGTCACTTGTATTGTGGATCAATATGAATTTTGATTCAAGTTAGTGCAACAATACAACTTGATAATGACCACTTAACCAAGATAGGATTGCCTAACAATTGGTAGTAAAATTGTAGGGGTTATCACACCTTGAGCAATGAAACTCGGAATGATGATTGAATGCAAATAGAACATGTACAGTCATTCCAACTTCCGATCCTTACTGATATTAGAATCTCACACAAAGTATTCAGACATGAGGCCATTTGTAGAGATATTTCTAGTATCCTTTTAGCATACTTTTCCATCAATTAGTGAATTCCCATTTCATTTTTCACAAACAGCAATCACAATTATTCTCACAGAAGAAGTGGCACAAGCAAAGAACATAAAAACAAGTATATTTACCCAAGCTTGCCAGTTGGTCAAAAAATATAATTGTAATTTCACCAAACACCCAGTTGGTCAACTTGTTTTCTTTTTCTTTTTTTTTTTTTTTTTTCTTTTTTTTCTGAAACCCTTAAAACACACTGTTGTTTGCAGACAGTCATGGTTCAGTGATGAATAGAAAGAGTTCCCCAAACGAATCAAACAACCTTCCAGAAACTCATTCCAGTGGAACAAATAATGGGCACTAATTGGGGTGCCTTTAGAATTGAACACAACAGGCTGCGTGCTGTGCTTCCTCCCCCAATTGTTCCCCCAAAAGAATCTCCCTTCTTTCTGCCCTTTTCTGTTCTATTTATCCTCACTTTGACTAGGAGTGAATTTGGCAACATTTCACGATTCTCTAGGACAAATGCTTTCTGCTTCCCACGCTTATGCATAAAAATAGCAAGAATTAATAAACAAACTTGGAGTGGTCCTCAAGACAAGACCAGGAGATTGACCCAACTACTACTTAATAACATACATAAAAAACCCATTTTAAAAATACACACACAGGAAGCTGAAACTACCATGATTGGCACTGAGCCATTTTAAAAAGTGATACAAAGCAGGAAACTTCGGGCAGAAGGTGAAACATTTACGGATCTGCCCAGGGTAGAGTTGGAGTGTTCGGGAAGCTATTGAGAGAGCGAGAGATCGTGCGAGAGAGAGCCGCATCGAAAGGAAAGTCATGAGAATTTCAAGTACAGCTTCTCAGTACTCGCGGTATTTTCGTTGTCGTTTCCGATCCATTTAAGCGGTAGCGGAGCTGAAGCAAGTCACATTTGAGTTCGCAAGCTTCATTCCGATTGCGTCCAGGTTTTACGAGGACTCGAAGCTTGCTGCTCATTCTTGTCAAGGGCTGGATTCCCGGGATCTGGAGCTTCTTTTTCCAGGTGAAAAGTCTTTCAGCTTTCTTAGTCTGAATGATCTACTTTGTTTTATAGTGTGAGATTTTTTATTTTATTTTTATTTTTGAAATTATTTGTAGGGGACGTTCAGACGTTGGTTTTAGGTTTGTGTAGGGAGGGAGGGAGGAGGGGGAAAAGGAGTAAACTGTGAAGGCTATTGTTCAGCTGAATGAAGAGAGGAGGTGCAGCTGTGGGAGCGGCAGCCATGAATCGGATGGCATAGGCTGCACATGCGGCCTTGACGACCACGGTGGTTTTTGGGAGATTAACAGTCTCCTGTTCAAGATCGTGGAACATTTCCTTTTCCATTTTCCGGTGCATTCTCAAGAGCGAGCACTGAAGAAGTTAGAGAAGCAAGAATTGAAACATACTAATTTGCAGTTAGGTGGAGGGTTCATTTCCACGGTGAGGAATAGACGGAAGATCAGTACATTTGTGCAGTAGTGCACTTGCGCTTCACCTCACGGCAGTCAGCAAAGTTACAAGTGAGGTGCCGCCATGACGGACCATACGATTCAGGATATTACAGTGCCTTCTGGCCAGGATGAGGCGCCGGCATTGGATGAGCAAGTGAAGAACAGTGATAAGGAAAAAGACAAGGCAGAGAAGCAAAAAGAGGAGACCAAGGTCGTGCCATTCTTCAAGCTTTTTTCGTTCGCGGATAAATGGGATTACATACTGATGATTGTAGGCACTATTGGTGCAGTCGGTAATGGTGTATCTATGCCTCTCATGACGCTCATCTTCGGCGATCTCGTTAATGCTTTTGGTCAGAACCAAAGTGATCTAAGCGAGCTGGTTCGTGCGGTCTCTGAGGTGCACTTCTCTTTCACCCACTTTCAAGGTGTAGAAGTAGCCATAAAAAGTCGAGAGAGATGATTTTAGAGTGATTTGCGTAGAGGGAGATTAAGGCACATGTGAAATATACTTCATGGGAGATAACTAAGAGCTTGGCAATAAGTGAGAGTACGTGATCCATGCTTCGTCACGAACTTTCGGGTGTAAGTCTTTGACGTTGATTTGAGAATGGAAGCAAGACAAGTTCGACTATTGAGATTAGTGAAAGTGCGCGCAACCATTCACGTGGCACTTCTTCATCGACATTCAACAGTGCCGCCATGGAACACAAGAATGGAGCACTGACATAGTTTGCTTTTCGTGAGCAGGTTGCCGTAAAGTTTGTCTACATCGGTATCGGGGCTGCCGTTGCATCATACTTGGGTGAGCTCCTATTCTTGTGCTCGGCTTTCGCTGGTTAGATTTCGCGTGGTTTTGCTTCAGTTCTTAAGTTTTATCCTCTCACCTTTGCAAAAATCGAATGAGCATTCAAACCGATTACAGCACTCCAATGTTCTAAGTTGTGATTTGGATGCAGAAATTACGTGCTGGATGATAACTGGAGAGCGTCAAGCCGCCCGCATCAGGAGTCTGTATCTCAAGTCTATTCTGAGGCAAGATATTGCCTTCTTTGATCAAGAAACTTCAACCGGCGAGGTGATCAGTCGGATGTCCGGAGATACCATACTTATTCAAAATGCAATTGGCGAGAAGGTTTGCATGAACACCAAACCCTACAGTCCATTTAAACAAATTGCCACACCGTTTCCTTCCTGGAAGAGGAAATGCAACGGCGAAACCAACAGTTCCTTGCATTGGTTTTATGAATTATAAGTTACAGGGAGAGGCAGTGCTGCGTATGTGGTTCGATGTGTGTGTGTTGGGCAGCTTCTTACGAAGTTTCTGTGCAGAGGTCTATGTAGGCCTGTTCCTGGATTCTTTTCAGGACGCACAGTATAATGAGTGGGAAATTCATCGCAGGTCGGGACTTTCATACAGCTGCTGTTCATGTTCCTCGCTGGCTTTGCAGTTGCATTCGTCCAAGGCTGGAAACTGACTTTAGTAATGGTGGCGACCATACCTCTTCTAGCTCTTTCAGGCGGCCTTATGGCAATGATGGTGTCGAAAATGTCAGGCGCAGGCCAGGAAGCTTATGCTGAAGCAGGCACCACCGTGGAGCAAGTCGTCAGCTCAGTCCGAACGGTAAGGATCCTGGCGAATGCTTGGTGCTCCATTCTTGAAATACTGGCTTCTATTTTAAGGATCTCTTCAGGTACATACCTCTTCAGTTGAACTCCATTCTCGTGACAACTCATTCAATTTTTCCTGGTGTGTTTGTGAAGGTGTTATCTTACACTGGTGAGATAAAATCTGTGATTGAGTATGATCACGCTATCGCCAAGGCTGCTAAGTTGGGAATAAACTCGGCATTAGCTTCCGGTTTCGGCATCGGCTTCGCACTTTTTGTGATGTTCGCTAGCTATGCGCTGGCCATGTGGTATGGGTCCATACTTGTAGCTAACCACGAATTATCTGGAGGCAATGTGCTCAGTGTCATATTTGCAGTTCTGACTGGTGGGGGGTAAGTGATTCGATGCCCTTGCTATCTCATATTTGAATGGTTGCTGTCAGTTGCACCCGGCACTAGCGCTACTTACGTCTTAAGCCTATACGATTCCACTAAAAAGACCGAATTCGTTTTCGAATGCAAAATCTTCTGTATTCCGTAGCTTACCATTGTCGCAGAAGATTCATAATGAGATGATCAGAGGACTGTTTTCTAGCCTCTGATGGTGCCTGTCTCGATCCTATGCTGTGGTCAGGTCTTTGGGTCAAGCCTCCCCATGCGTTCAAGCTTTCGCCTCTGGTAAAGCAGCGGCGTATAAAATGTTCGAAGTCATTAAGCGCAAGCCCGTGATTGATGCGTACGACTTGAGCGGTGAAACGTTAAAAGCCCTCAAAGGAGACATTGAGTTACGGAATGTTTATTTCACCTACCCTAGTCGTCCTGATGTGCCCATTTTCAAAAACTTCAACCTCTCTGTGGCTGCTGGTACTACTGTCGCATTAGTGGGAGAAAGTGGAAGGTGAGTTTCTTCAGCACTTTGTCGTTGACACTCTTTCAAGTTGTATCTCTTGTTGCCCGTTATTATGAATTGCATCTCATCTTCAATCTCAACATACATGACCAGTGGTTTAATTTAAGCTCCGCGTTCTTCATTGCAGTGGCAAATCCACAGTTGTCAGTCTTGTGGAGAGGTTTTACGATCCTAATCAAGGGCAAGTACTGGTAGATGGGGTTGATATCAAGACCCTTCAACTGAGGTGGCTTAGGCGGCAAGTTGGTCTTGTGAGCCAGGAACCGGTATTGTTCGGCACCTCAATCAAGGAAAATATTGCATACGCGAAGGATGATGCCACAGACGAGGAAGTTCAAGCAGCAGCTAGCTTGGCGAATGCAGCCACTTTCATCAACAAGATGCCCAAAGGCTATGAAACTAAAGTTGGAGAGCGAGGAATACAGCTATCAGGAGGTCAAAAACAGCGTATAGCAATTGCAAGAGCAATACTCAAGGATCCTAAAATTCTGTTGTTGGACGAAGCAACCAGTGCTTTGGACGCAGAATCCGAATGCGTGGTTCAAGAAGCGCTCGAGAAGGTCATGGCTGATCGCACTACAATTGTGGTCGCTCATCGGCTTACAACAATCCGTAATGCGAATCTCATAGCTGTCATTCAACGTGGTGTGGTCGTAGAAACAGGTAAGGGATCTGATATTTCAGTTTGTACAGCGTCAATCGTCCGATGCCCAGAAACTAGTCACGCATTTGCATTATAACTTCTCCAATACCTGGGGCGGCAATTTATTTATATATGAATCCTTTTGGGAGTGTGCAGGGTCACATGATGAACTTTTATCCAGACCAGACGGAGCATATACACAACTGATTCGTTTGCAGCAGGTTAACAAGCAGCAAGACGCTGATATGTATAACGATTTAGATCTGGACGTAGACACTGCAGCCATCGGCAGGTCTCTTAGCAAAGGCTCACATGGCAGCCGCCGGCGTAGTCTTCAGCGAAAGTCACCACATGCATCTCGGAGGGTACATGACCAGCTTGGAAAGAGTGGCAGATCCGAAGGAACTGACGTTGAGTCAGGAGATAAGGAAAACCAGAAGCGCGCTGATACTTCTATCTTTCGACTTGCCAAATACAGTAAACCTGAAACTCCCCTTTTTCTGATAGGTTCTCTCGCCGCCCTCGCAAACGGAACTTCATTTCCAATCTTTGGACTTCTATTGTCAAATATTATTGCTGTTTACTATATCACCGAACCGAAGAAATTGAGACACGACGCGAATTTCTGGTCCCTCATGTACTTGGTACTGGCAATTGGAATATTTATAGTTTCCCCAATACAATTCTACTCATTTGGGGTGATCGGCCAGAATCTTATTCGTCGCCTCCGTAGATTGACTTTTGAGAAGGTGTTAGGAAATGAAGTGGCGTGGTTCGATGAGGATAACAACGGCAGGTGGACCAACTTGCACTTTCTCTGTTTTTTCACTTCCTTGCCTTCGTCGCACCGTTGTAAATTTCATCTTCAGCACACTCTTAGCCAAAAATTCCTGTAAACTAAGATTACTTCGTTGAATGCAGTGGCTCTATTGGTGCACGGCTATCAACGGATGCAGCAGCTGTGAAAGGCATGATTGCAGACACACTCTCAATTGTCATGCAGAATATCGGCAATATTATCTGCGGACTAACCATAGCATTCATCGCCAACTGGCAACTCTCACTTCTGGTCCTCGCCTTGGTTCCACTCTTGGGCTCACAAGGGTACTTCCAAATGAAAATGATGCAAGGCTTTAGCAACGATGCCAAGGTTGACAATAGGTTTTTCACCCCTTTTTTCATTGCCATCATTGGAATATGAGCATTTGTGGCTGCAAGCATTGAACACCGTGTGCCATACCTGCCACATTTGGTTTCTCGTGTGACGCACTTTCTGTGGCATGTTCAGGAAGCATACGAGGATGCAAGTCGTGTTGCCAACGATGCAATCTCCAGTGTCCGCACCGTGTCGTCCTTCTGCGCACAAGAGAGAGTAGTGGCTCTGTACGAAGAGAAGTGCGAAAAGCCTCTGAAAAGTGGCATTCGTCAAGGTTATCTCAGTGGGACTGGCTTGGCTTTCTCCAACTTTGTCCTCTTTGCGTGCTACGCACTTGCATTTTGGTTTGGGTCGAAGCTGGTGCAGCAAGATAAAGCTAGTTTCGAAGATGTCTTCAAGGTCTTCTTTGCCATCACGATGAGTGCTTTCGGTGTCTCACAGGGCGCCAGTTTAACACCTGATCTAAGCAAAACGAAGCTCGCTGTGAATTCCATTTTTGAACTGCTCGATCGAAAATCACTCATTGACCCCTACAATACTTCTGGGAAGACGTTAATGCCACTAAAAGGGGACATTGAGCTCCGAAATATCAGCTTCACTTATCCCTCCAGACCCACGATACCCATATTCAAGGACTTGAGCCTCACTGTGCCCGCTGGCAAGGTTCGTTGGTTTTCGAAACCTTCCCGCTTTTTCCAATGATTTCCATGATGCATGTGAATGGTTATTGTAGAATTCTAAGAGGGGAAATCTTTCGAATGAGCATATAACTGTCGCCCGTGTGGCTTGTCTTTGCTTCTCATCTCTCCGCCAGAACGAAGTCCTGCTAAAAGCGTTTACTGAAAATGTTTCATGTTGAGAAGACTGTGGCACTTGTTGGCGAGTCGGGTTCGGGCAAGAGCACAGTGATTTCGCTACTCGAGCGCTTCTACGACGTGGATAGCGGCTCCATCCTGCTTGATGGTGTCGATATTACGCAGTTGCAAATTCGTTGGCTAAGACAGAAAATCGGGCTTGTGAGCCAGGAACCCGTCCTCTTCAACACTTCTATAAAAGCAAACATCATATACGGAAGGGATGATGATGTCACAGAGACAGAAATAGAGTCTGCTGCTAAAGCCTCGAACTGTCACAAATTCATCGTGGGCTTACCTGAGGGTTTCAATACGACCGTTGGAGAGCGTGGGGTTCAGCTTTCAGGAGGACAAAAGCAGAGAGTGGCCATTGCGAGGGCGATCGTCAAGGATCCCCGAATCCTGCTGCTGGATGAGGCCACCAGTGCGCTGGACGCTGAATCAGAACACGTCGTGCAAGAGGCTCTTGACCGCATCATGGTGAACCGGACTACCATTGTTGTTGCTCATCGTCTCTCCACCATCCGCAACGCTGATGTAATTGCTGTGGTTAAAAACGGATCCATCGTTGAGCAAGGAAAACACGACGAGCTGATGGCGAGACAGGATGGGGCGTATCATGCTCTTGTGCGGCTTCACATGTCCTCCAAATAAACACCTGTGGTACTCACCATAATTCCAAACTAACCGCCAGCGTCAATTCGCATGACTGCTCATCACCAGTATTTAGCAGATCACGTGACCTTACATCCTTGACCTCAATCAATACTCGTACAGATTCTTTGGTGGCTCCACAAATATTTATACATGTGCACACTCACACTGGTGAGAGGCATCTCGGTGGCTGTCTTCACTGGGTGTGTTTGAAAACCATGAGTTGGAGTTCAGCTGTCGTAACATATCTCCTCAGCCTGAGATATCTGACAACGGCAACTTGTGCTCAGTTCACTCTAGGGAACTCGTCCACCAAACTTTTTTCGGTACCCCCACGCGACGTGGTCGTTGGCAACAGAATTCAAGAATAAATGAACCCTGAAGTAACTTAAAGCTGCGGCCTCAATACACAGACGTGGTCGTGGATAGTGTTCTATATGCTGAGAAAATTATTTTCAACTGATAGAGTACAAGAAGCACATGCGTACTCGGTTGCGAGTTGGTGATCCTGTTGGGCTTGCAACACGGCAATTCTCACGAGTCTGTGTGCAGCAAAAACAAAAGTAATAAAAAAACGCAATGTTCAATTAGGTCAAGCCAGCCACGATGATTTTTAGAATTCAGCACTAGATTCAACACGCATTTCAAGAATTATTTATGTACTTATTTACATGTGGGTGTGTACACAAGTGTGGAAGATGGATGTTTAAACATGCGTTCTGAGACGAATACAAAATGATCATATGTCAGAATGAACATCTTTTTGCTGATTTGGATAATTGATAACTCTTTGTATAGTTATCATTTAATGATAAAAATGAAAACTCGTCTCCACTGAGTAAGAACTTGTTCGTTGGTCTAATTTTTGGAGGTGCTTAATTTTTTTGATGTGTTGTAGCAATTACCTTTGTTGCACATATGAAACATTGGGTTAATGATTCTGAATCACAGTAATATTAGCTTAGAAATGGATTTGTGCCAAGTCTTAATATCAAATATCTAAAACTAAGTTTGATCATTCAATTTCACTAATATAATAGCTTTGTTTTTTAATTGCAACTTTTATTTTCATTTTTCTTAATTTTAAATTAAAATTTGAAAATCATTCAAGTGTAATAAATTACTAATGTATATTTGTTTAAATATAAAAAGTAATAACACACTTTAAATTGTACATAACAATCACTTTATAACCTTATTGATGATGATGATTAAATATATGACTGATATTCTAATCGTGGATTATAATTTATTTTATTGACAAAATAATTTGATATATATATATATATATATATATATATATATTGGAAAATGTTAAATTGATCCACTTTTTTACTAAATTGATCTATCCTATCATAACCATTATTAAAAAATTGGATTATTTCCAAAAACCATCATTAGCATAATGGCCTTCATCTCCACCCTCCTCATTCCCAACTCCTACTTCCACCATCCCAACCTTCATCCCAATTCCACTCATTTTCAGCTCTCATCTCTACTCTCCTGTTTTTCCTACTACTTATTCTCATCCCAACTTCTATCTTTCTATAAATAATATGTATAAAATATGTAACTATTGCAGTGATTCTCATACTCTTACCAAGTTTTTAAGTAGAGGTGACATGACTAAAGCCTCATAAACTGTTAGAGGCAATGAAATTCAAATAGGTAAGATTCTAAAATCTATTTACACTACTGTAAATACTTATTAAATTCATGATCAAAAGCAACTAATTTATTCTTCTTTGAAATTGTAATCAAAGAGAAGTTCACTAAATGTGTATTCTTCTTTCTATTTCCAAAATCTTATTGTGATTATTCACAACCTTTTTATATTTTAATTGACATAGCATACTATGTCATAGGAAGTTTTTTGAACTTGAGAGGTCAAACACCTTGTTTGGAATTAATTGCTTGTTCTATAAAATGATGGCTGATCGGCTAATTCATAAGTTGCTGAAAATTTATCCAAGGAAGGGCGAAGTTTAGGCATCACATACAAGAATGAATTCTTTCAAAACTATCTTTTGAAGATAAGAATCTCTTGGCATAGTTATATCTTACTCAAGATTTGTGAGGATGTTGAGATAGAAGAGCTAGCTATTGTGCAATAACTTGAGAGGCTCGAAAGGTACCAAACTCTATAATCAACATATGATAAACAAGTACAACTTCTTACAAAGAAGCTCCTTCACTTCTCTTATAAAGTACCTATTTGTAAAATACAAGGTCACAAGATGGTCAATATTTCTAAAGAAGTTTGAGACGTTGATCCAACTAGGCTTCCTTAGGAAGCATAAGGTGTTAAAATATAGGTACCATAAGCTCATAATTTAGTGAATTGCTTCAACTTCAACAAACTTATATCTTTGTTCTATTGAAGAAAAAGAAGTCTAAAGGCTACAAACACTTAGCATCAGCAAGTATTGTACTCTAATAGAAGTGTGGACGAAGATAATTTTTACTTCCAACACTCTTTACTTATAGGTGGTGGTTTGTACACCAACGAGGCAACTTCCATCCATTTGATATTACATCCATTTCTACCTCATCTTACTAAAGCCTCGGTACTACTACAATAACTTACTTTACCTCTTTGTTGTCTTTTTACTATTAGCAACATACTATGTTTAAACTTTATGTGATTGTAACTAAGCAAGTACTTGTTGTTCTTCAACACTCCCACTTTGCTAATATTCAAAAGGCTTTTAATTTAATCTTTATATCAAGTCACAATGTCTATCCTTGACCAATACCTTTGTAAGTACATCAGCAAGCATGTCATTTGTAGCATAATACTTCAGACCTATTATTCCGTCTTCAATCTTCTCTCATATAAAATGATGTTGAACATCAATGTACTTGATCCTTGAGTCGTGTTTTTTTGGCAACGAGTGCATAAGTCTCATTGAAAACAATTCCAATAACTTGTGAGTATCCTTTGGCAACTAATCTTGCCTTGTGCTTCACCACCTCATCCATTGTATCTCTTTTAGTTCTAAACACCCATTTACAACCAACACTAGATCGATTTGGTGGAAGAGCTGCCAATTCCTATTTACCATTGTTTATAAGAGATTGGTACTCTTCTTCCATAGCCTTCTCCTACTTGATTGCATCTTCACACTTCATAGCATCACACAATGACAATGGATCATCAAGAAGAGCAACGTTTGCATGTTCTTCATTTACTTGAGGGAAGATGTGATCCTTCCACCATTCACGATGTTGCCTTCTTTCTTTCAAGAGATATCTCCTTTCACTTGTAGAAGAACATTCACCTTGTTGTACTTTATCAATCTTCTTCTCTCTTAAACCTTGTCGTTTTTCACCCAATGGTTGGTACTCTTCATCATTGTCATCATCCCAATCTTCAACATCTTCATTTCTTTCATTGCTGGTCTTTTTAATTGTAAGAGCCTTCATCTTTTCAACCTTCTTTGGCTTTTCATCTTCATCATCTTCATTGTCTTCATCTTCTTCTGTCTTTGCTGAATTCAAAGATGTGTCCACAAACACACCATTACTCCTACTTAGACACATCTCCAAGTGCTCACAAGCACTCTTATGCTCCAAAAACTCCACATCACGACTTTTGATGATCTTCTTGGATTCCAAACACATTAGCCTATATGCCTTAGTACCTTCACAATAACCAAGAAACACACTCTTTGTACCTTTTGCATCAAGTTTGGACCTCATACAATCTGGTATTTTTGCATATGCAATGCAACCAAAGGTCCTCATATGAGAAATGCAAGGTTGTCTCCCACTCCAAGCTTCTTGTGGTGTCATTGATGCAAGACCACTTGTTGGACACCTATTTCTTGTATACACTGCATTCACCACAGCTTCCGCCCAAAATTCATAGCCAAGGTTTTGAGCATGTAACATATTCCTTGCCATTTCTACAATGGTTCGATTTACTCTTTCAGCAACACCATTTTGTTGTGGAGTATATGGAGTTGTGGTTTGTCTAGCAATTCCTTCATTCTTCAAATAAACATCAAATTTTTTAGACATGTACTCACCTCCATTGTCTGTACGTAGCACCTTGATCTTGCATTCACTTTGTTTCTCAACAAGTGCTTTAAACTCTTTAAACCTCCAAAAGCATTTATTCTTGGCTTTAAGAATACAGATCCAAATCTTTCTTGAATAATCATCAATGAAAGTGAGGAAATACCTTGATCCTCTAATACTTGTATTTTTCATAGGTCCACATACATCTGAATGGACAATCTCCAGCAATTTGGTAGCACGTGTTGTTACACTCCTTGGAAATGAGGCCCTTTGTTGTTTGCCTTATATGCATCCTTCACATGCAAGTTGTTTTGCATTTTGTCTTGTATTTCCAAGATCTAAGCCACTTATCATGGTCTTGAGCTCTTTCATGCTCTTCACATTCAAATGGCCAAGGTGACAATGTCATATATTCAACTTGTCTTCGTTTGATGTAAACTCAGTAAATGCAGCTACCTCCACTCCATTCACCTTCTTACAAATGAGGTAGTACAAATTTCCGTCTTTCAAGCCTTTGAAGACCTTATCTCCACTCAATGATCTTACAAAACATCCATTCATGTCAACTTTAAAACCTTTCATTACAAGTTTACTCACCGAAAGAAGGTTTTGCTTCATCTTAGGCACACGAAGGACGTTTTTGAGTCTGATCCGATTGGTTTGTCCATTCGCAACCACCTCCACCATAATAGAGCCAATTCCAATGGCTTCACATGTACCACTATCTGCCAATACCACGTTTGATGTTGAATAGCTTCATAAGTATCAAATGAATACTTATAAGATGTCATATGCTTGGAACAACCTGAATCTACAATCCATCTTGACATGGCAGCCATAGAGATTCCATTTGTTGTCATGAATGCATAATCTTGTCCTCCAAACTCATCTTGCACACTATTTGTATTGTCCTTCTTCATCTTTTTGCCTTTATAGCAATTTCGAGCAAAATGGCCTATTTTGCCACAAATGAAGCAAGATTTGGCATTACCTCGTTGATTTGGATAGTTGCCCTTACCTTGACGTGAATATAATGCTGAAACTTCACTTTGGGGCTCCTTTTCTTTCTTCTTGGTTACTTCATGGACAAGTCTTGTCATCACATAGTCCATTGTAAGTTCTTTTACCTTGATGGACTCTAATGCCACAATAAGGTAGTTGTAGGATTCGGGAAGGCTCATTAGCAAGGTCATGGAAATATCACTTTCTTCTAAAGGCTTGTCAACAATTGCTAGTTGGTTTGCAAGAGCCTTTACTTTATTGACATGAGCCATGAGGTCTTCACTTTTTTCCATCTTGCAAGTGAAGAACTTTCTCATTGTATAAATGATGTCGGATAAGTTCTTGCTCTCATAGATGTTGCAAAGAGTCTTCCATGCTTCCGTTGGTTCTTTGCAAGAGATAATGTGAGAGAAGTTGGCTTCATCCACATTTGTTGCAATCAACCCAAAAGCCTTCTTTTCATGACGTTTGAACTCCTTCTTCTCTTTCATATCAGCATCTTTGCTTGGAACCTCTTCACTTTCATCTACAATATCCCAAAGATGCTAACAAAAGTTCCATTTTGACCTTCCAATGGCAGAAATTTTCACCTCTAAACTTCTCAATAACTCTCAAGCCTTCACCCTCACTTGAAGCCATGTCTAAGGCAAAGTTGTATCAACTAAGATTGTAAGAGGAAGTCCTAATGCTCTTAAAATCAGCAAGAAGGTTTAGCTGCCTTAGA